AATTTTAACAGTCAATCATTAAACAACTCAAGATAGCACTTCGCCAAAATATTGGTTTACTATTTATTGATACTATTCCAACAAGTATTCACCTAAACTCATTTTATTATTCATACAAACTTACATATACTTTTTTTCACTATAGATTGACTTGTTTTATATATAGTTTTCAAACTTTATATTAATATTTATTATGAAAGTTTTTGTAATATTCTACTTTGATCTTTTTTTAAAAAACACTATTTTTTTGATCCGTAAATTTTTTTTTTATTTTAGTAACTTTGGTTCCTTTTTTTCTCTGATTTTTAATTAAAAATATTAAGACAAAAAGATGTTTAGAAGGAAAAAAAAACAATTTAGAAAATAAGTTTTTAACTACAAATCCATTGATTTTGATATCGTTTTCTTATACCATTATAATTTTTTTAATTAAGAATATAGATAAAGATAAATAAATAATATTTTTTTATTTAAAAATTATGATAAATATAAGAAATAATAAGTAAAATACAAAATTTTGATTAAAAAATTAAAATAATTTTTATTTATTTTTGATTTGATATATTTAGATAAATAGGTACTGTAACACAAAATATCAAAATAAAATAAATTTTTAAAAATACTTTTATGTATTATGTTTGACCTATGTGTAACGTGAATAAAAAAAAACTAAAGAAAAAAGTGACGGTGAAATAAAAAAAGCCAAAACAAAGAAGCCATGTCTTCTCCCAAGAAGTGGGATGGAAACGCGTAGCACAATCAGAGATGAATTTTAGACCATTTGATTTAGAAGGAAAAAAAAAAAAAAGAACCGATGTCTCTGTCAATGTGATGCTGGTTCAATAATTAGCTATCTTTAGAATCTTGTGCTTACTCTTTTTTTTTTTTTTTAATTGGACTGCTTCAAAAAGAGCGGGTGGGGTCCAACTTATTTTGTTGTAGAGATCAAAATGAGATTTTGAAAACTGAAAAGACACATGTCTCGAAAAAGTTCAGATCAGATAAAGACACCAAAGTTTACTACTTCAGTTGTTGTGGAATACATTGACACCACTACAGTCCAAATGCTGACTGACAAGTCACTGGCATGTGCTAGACTTGTATTTTTGCCCACTTCCATTAAAAAAAAAAAAACCTAATTCCCTTCAATAAAATTGACTTTAACTAATAAACTCTAAGTAAATAATTTTGAATTGAAATTTTTATATATAAAAAAACTATTTGAATAGTTATGTATCTCATAAAATGTGAGAGAATAGTTTTCTGATAGAATAAAGAGAAATTAATCTAAATTTTTGAGTTTGAGATACATTAAAAAAAAAAAACTAACTCCAACAAAATTCTGTGTTGATAATTTTTTTTTATTTTTTAAATTCAAACATTAAAGTAGATATTTAAAGAAAATTATCAATTTTTTTCTAAATATATCAAGTTGGTATAAAAAGTGTATTTTTAAAATTAATTAAAAAGATAAATATAAATTAATATGCAAGCTAATAAATAAATGAAATAGTGCACTCATTACTCGCTGCTTGTATTTTGCAAACCTACTCAAATCGTTCGAAATTTAAATTATAACATAAAGAATTGAAGATAGATGAGAATTTGATTGGGCAACATAATTAGGTCCGTTGAATTTCTCTATGAGGAAAAAAATAATAAAAAAAACACCTCGATTGAAAATTAGTATATTCAATGAATATTTGTTACGCGTGAACTTTGAAGGGAGAACAGCAAAGAAGCCAACAAAAAACAATCAAGCGTGAAAATACGTAGAGCCTACCATTTAATTGCATGTGGTTGCAAATCATTTTTTTTTTAATTGTTGTCCTTTCCCACTTTAATTCTGAGTTTCTAAAAAAAATTAAGAAAAATCAAATCAAGTCAAACTCTGTTTTTTTTTTCCTTATGATTAAATGTTTCCTCTTCGATAAACTAGCTTCAAAAATTATACAAATGTAAGTGACTTGATAAAGGAATTTAAGATGAAAAATACAATAACAACTATACACAATAGCGCTAATTGAACTAAATATTCAATATGATTCAAAAGACATCTTATACTATTGGTTACAATATAAAGAATTTCTGAATAAATTATTCATTGTAAAAAATTCTTAAATAAAATTGGAGTTAAAAGTTAATTTTTCTATTAAATCAAACCAATTTAGATTAAATAAACTCATGTGTTTATTGTGTGCTTTCCAATCTCATTTAATAGAAATTTATTAGACATGGGATTACATAACATTCAATCATATTAAAATATTATTCATTAAATTATTAAATGTTTCCTCTTCTATAAACTAGCTTAAAAAATTATATAAATGTAAGTGACTTGATAAAAGAATTTAAGGTGAAAAACACAATAATAACTATATGCAATAGAGCTAATTGAACTAACTAGTCAATGCGACTCAAAAAACATATTATAGGATTGGTTAAAATATGAAGAATTTCTAAATAAACTTTTCAATGTAAAAAATTCTTAAATAAAATTGGAGTTAAAAGTTAATCTTTCTATTAAATCACTTTTAAGTTTCTACTTTCCATCTAACTTAGATTCAATAAGACCATGTGTTTATTGTATGATATCCAATAGCATTTAATAGAAATTTACTAGCTATTGGATTATATAATAATGAAATATTTTTCTCTCTTTACGTAACAATCAATTATATTAAAATATTATTCATTAAAAAAAAAAGTTATCTAGTGCGTACATAATCATTACACTATATCTACCTACACCTGTTAGCCCTTGTCTCAAGGTACAAAATATTTAGATAAACAAGTAAAGTAGATGAAAGAAAGGAAGAGAAAGGGCGAGAAAATTTGAAGGGTGCAGTGCTAATTGCAAAGTGTCACTATCAAATTATTAGGAATTGAATTTGTCCAACATGGTAAAACCCATCGCTTTAAATGGGCCGGGCTGCGTCACAATCTGCGACCATGGAGTCTATTCAACTATGTGGTCTGAACCATGGAGGTCAACTCTGTCTGTTTTCAGAGACTACTTATTGTCCAAGGCTTAGGGTTTAGGCCTTCTTACTGTGTTATTGGACCTACTTTTCCCTAACCTGGGCTGTCTGATCATTTTCATTGTAATGGTATTTGCTGCTTTAGTTTTTAGGCCTTCTTATTTTCCGAGGAAAGTTGGATTTCGTCCTCTCAATTTTGGGCTCTTCTGCCCCTTCTCCTTAACATAGTCATGATTTCAAGCACTAGAGAAAAAAGAAAGAGAGGGAGAGAGAGATGCATTAAAACTTATTATAAATTTTATAATACATAAAGATTAATTAATAATATATATAATAATTATTTCATAGACTTACTTTGAAGAAAGAGATAGATATTTTGAATTATATCCGAATCCATCAAAAGTAATAAGAAGATTTCCACGTTAGTTTTTTTTGTTTTTTAATTTTTTCTCTTTTGTTTTTTTTTTTTTGTGTCTATTTTTCTCCTCAAAGTAGGTCCATTAAGTAATTACTGTACATATTATTAGTTATTCTTTATGTATCGTAAAATTTCTCAAAACTTAGAGCTACTTCAAATTGCAAGAGAAATAGGTTCGAAATTGTTTCTATTGGTCCACTGTCCGATGTCTACGTTTGTCTTATAGATCCACTGTCGAAGTGATGCAATACTAATATTCTCTTTTGGTCCATCCTCAATGGGAATTGACTTATGAATTTTAGATTTGATTTTAGTGGAAAATGAGTCGAGATTTTACGAAAGGAAGGGTGTAGAGTGATTATTTTCATTTCACAGTTCCATTTCATAGCTAAAATCTTGAAAGGCATTTTAAGACAATAGAACCATGGACGATAAAAGATTCAAAAGAGGGTGGAAAACTTATTATTTTTATGCATTAGCAGCATAATGTGCTTTTAGACAACCCACACATTTTGACCATCAAACTAAACAGCCAACAAAGTCACAAAAAAAAAAAAAAAAACAGTTTAATGGGATAATTTAGTCCATTGAAGTTATAATAAATTAAGATCTATATTATCAATTTGGGTTATTTTAAACTTTAAATTATTATTTTTTGAGTAAATTTTATCTTCTTTTTTTCGTTATATCCGATCGTTAAAATTGACGAGTTAACCGAAATACTTAAAAACGATATCATTTTAAGCATTTTAGCTTTTTTTTTTTAAGAATTAAAATTAATTCTCCAAAAAAATATATTTAATAATAGTTAGTTTTAAGGAAACTCAAATAATTTTATTGTTTATGGATCAAATTTTTATTGTTAGGCATTAATGATGTGTAATAGAACTATACTATCAACTTAAACATTGAACCCTTAATTATTATTTTTTAGGCATTTTTTTTATCCTTTTTTGTTATATGTGATAGTCAAAGTGTTGATTATTATCTGAAACATTTACGACGATGTCCTTTTAAGAATTTTGATTTTCATTCTTAGAATTAAAATTAATTTTTTAAAAAATATTTAGTAATAATTAGTTTTAAGGAAGCCAAAATGATTTTGTTATTTATGAATCGACTTTAGTCGTTGGGTATTAATGATGTGTAATGGATCCATCTACTAAAAAAAACACTAAATTATTTTTTTATGATTGAAATTAATTTTTTTTAAATTAATAATAATTAGTTTTGAGGAAGTTTAGATGATTTTATTGTTGGATAATTAATGATGTGTAATGGATCCATCTAAAAAAATTGAATTATTAATTTTTTTTCAAAATTAATTTTAATTCTTAAAAAAAAATGTGTAAATCGATATCATTTTTAGCATTTCAGTAATTTTAACCATTAGACATAACGAATAAAAATAAAATTTATTCAAAAATTAATAATCTAAGATGCAAATAGTTTATACTAATAATATAAATTTTATTTTATCACAACCGAAATAGTTTCAGAATAAATTATGCCATAAAATCCAAGAAAAACACGATCAAACCAAATAAAAGACAGCAAGCACATTTATAAGCACATTTATAAGACTGATAATATCATTTCTTTCAAGCAAGGATTTCCTCGATGGGCTTGGTCTCCAATTTGGCTTTCTCCAAATCTTTCAGCTGCTGCTGCTGCTCATTAGCCAACTTCTTTAGCTTAGCTAGCTCAAGATCCTTGCTCATCTTCCTCTTATACATCTCAGCAAATGTAATTGGCTCATCTAGCACTGGCTTCTCTCCCTCTCTTATCTTGAGAGGATACACTGTAGCTTCTGGTGCAGGGTTCTGGAATGTGGCTATGGACAACCTGCTATAGTTTGAGTTCACCACAGCTTGGTGGTCTGCATTTCTGAATCTTCCATTGCTAAGATACTGCCTCACAATAGTACCAAATAGTTTTAGTCCAATTAATAAAAGGTAATTATATAACATACCTAGCTCAACATTTACTTCAATTTCTTTGACAAGAAACATTTTAGTTTCGTACTTACATGACCATGGTCTCCGAGGTTGACGACAAAAGCACCTTCAATAGGCTGAACCGTGATCCAAGTCTTTCCATTATCTCTAGTGGCCTGAAGACCACCAACCGTGTCCTGGAGCAAGAGGGTGATGGTGCCAGGATCGGTATGGCGTTTGAGTCCTAGTGTAAGGTCTGGCTGTGGACATTTTGGATAGAAATTGACCACAACTTTTTGGTCCATGTCAACACAAGCCTTAGTTAAGGCCTCTGTTTCTAATCCCATGGCCTCTGATAAGACCCCAAGAAGCTTGCAAGCAAGTGCCATTAGCTTCTCACTATATACCTCCGTCACTGCTCTCCATGCCTCTGGCTTGTCTGGCCACCTTGAATAGTCTCTGGTGCGAAGTGGGTATGAGAAGTAGGTCACTATTTCACGCCAGTCCTGAACTGCCTCTCCCTGTATATAAGATCATAAATCAGTATCGATACCATTTTATTATTTTCGTCCTGTGTCTATCTACTATTAAAAGTTTTTAAGCGTGAATAATAATTTTTATGGTTTGATTCCATTTCTAACTCTGAATTTGAATGACCAAGAAGTCTGTATTTCACTATTTACTCTTGCACAGCAAAAATTTTGTTTATAAATAAATCCTTTTAGCTTTCAAAAGCATAACAATATCAAAACATACCTGTGATCTAAAACCTAGACAAACTTAAACTTATGCCTTGTCAATCCATGTTCATTAATTTCACAGCACAAAAACTCGGTTTCCATGGCTTCCAAAATGAAACAATCATGCATTTTCAATGTTTTCCCAAGAACACTCAATTTCAATGGCTCCTCTAAAAAAGCAACGAAAAAAGTTACAAAATAAAGCAAGTATGCAAACAAAAAAGATCCCTAATAGAGTAGGACAATGTAATTGGTGATTGCAACTATGATCCGTCATAATTACTTAAAAAGATTGAAAAATTAGTGAAGTATTTCTGATCAAGTTATTTGAAGTCATTGAAGAAAGAAGCCAAATTTCCTTATATAAATATATAGATTTCATCTCATATAGGTAAAAAAATAACAATAATATTCGTTTTCAAAGGCCCTTCCAAATAAAAAAAAATTCTGTTATAAATAGTAAGAAACTTCAACCTTTCCTTAATTCCCTTACCATACACAAGTAATTTTAATGTTTTATTTCCTGTAACAAAACGTTTCTGCAAAAACCAAGTCAAAGGAAGAATATTACCTATTTAGACTAGCCAAACAATGCAAGTTTCGTTCTACTTTTACGAGTTTTTGAGAGCCAAACAAGACGTCCAGTTCTATCTTGGGAAGAAAACATGCTTGTGGTATTTTTCTGTTTTTCTTTGATTCATTTTTTTTTTATTATTATAGTGGAATAAATAATATATAATCCATAATTTTTTTAACTGTTCTAATTTTTGTGTTCTCTATCTACCAAACATTTTTTTCTTCCTTACTTTTGTGTTATATATATATATATATATATATTGTTCTCTTACCAAACCAAAGAAGGGCTACTGCCGTGAGTTGGAAACATCTATTTTTCATTTGGAAAAAAGATCATTCTAATAGGGAATTTAAGGATTAAGGTCTTTAATTATTGCGCGAAAATTAACTTCGAGTACAGACCAAATGCCTGAAGAAGGGCTAGCTAGCCTTAAAACGTAAAAGAAGTTATACCTGTAAATGGCTGGAGACAATGAAGCCTCCCTTTTTGCCACCAGACATATCAAACCTAAGCTTCTCTTCCGGCGGCAAAGCGAAAAACTCTTTAGCAAGATTTGTCATCTCTGACACTAGCTTAGCATCGACCCCATGGTCAATAATCTGAAAAATCCCCCATTCCTCACATGCCTCGACAATCTTCTTGCATATTTCACCTCTCTTTTCACCGCCATCATCAATCCCAGCTAATGAAATGACTGGAATTTCATTGCTGAAATTGTTATATGCCACTTTCGGACGTTCATCTTCGTCGCGGACAAAGCTTGCTCGCAGGGTTTTCTCTTCCGCCAAAGCAGTGAGAGTTGAAGGAGACATAATTTTTTGGCTTGTTTGTGGTCCAAAGATTGTGTGGTTGAGTGCTTGTGTTTTCTTCCTGGCTCCGAAAATGGTGTTGCATGTGCCAAGTTTCTCTGCTAATTATAGACTATAGAGCGCCAAGGGTGTGTGCGCCTATATAACGAAGGGGAATTTGGCAGGTGCCAGCTACCTCCTTGGCTCGTGACGAAGGGAGGTTGCTCGTATTTACCAAACTCATTTTCATATCTTGCTTCTAGATAGAGATTATATAATTTGTATATTAGTTTTTCTTTTTTAATCTCTCCATATTGAATATTTACTATTGATAGATTATTTTTTCAATTAATTTAGCCATGAATAGTGATGTTATGTTTATGATATGAAAAGGCAACTCATTAATGAGTATAGTACGGTACTTTGTATTCTCATAACTCAATCCTTTATTTGTACAAAAATTTTTAAAAAATGTCAAAAATTAAATATTGTATTGGATTTATATGATTTTTCAAAATCTAAGCTTTTTTTCTATGTGAAAATTTTCATAAATTTTATTATTTTGGTCGAGTCTCAAGTTAAATTAAGCGTGTAAAAATGAGTGAAAAGAAAACATTGATGCATAAAAAAATCAAAGAAAAAAATGAGTAAAAAGAAAATGAGTAAAAAAGAGGAAACAAATAAAAAGAAAGAGATAAAAAAAAAAAATTAAAGCACACGGACTATCTCATTCTAGTTTAATCAAGCCTAATCTAATTTTTCATGATTAGCTTAATCTGACTTTGGGGTTAAATAACCCTTAATCGAACAAGACATTTTCACTTGAAGAGAATGAACTTAGATAAAGAAGCATCTAAATACACACCCTGAAGTATGTATAAAGAGGATGTTGATGTTGACTCATGTACCTGCCTTTGTGTATCTCTAATGATTACCTTTAAATGGATATTTATTTTTAAAATAATAAATGTAAGGATGTTAAACTTATGAATATTGAAAATTTTTACTTAGAATTTGAAAATAAATATAGGAACAAGATTATTTATGAATATTAATTATGGTAAAAGATATTTTTATAAATGATGAAATTTTAGAATATTGCTTTTGCTATGAGAAAATCTTATGATTATGTATTATTAATGACATATTTAAAGATAAGTAAGATTAAATTAGAAACTTAATTTTAAAAAAAACTAAAAAGATATAAGTTTTAGTATCGATCCATTCAGTCGTGACCTTTCTAATGAGATATCTCGATTGATGAGCGTTATAGCTATTGTTAGACTATTTTAGTTTGTTGAAGAACATTTTGTGTAACATGATTTAAAAAGACTATTTTAGTTCCTAATCTTATAGTTATGTATTATTAATGACATATTTTAAATTGACATATTTAAAGATAAGTAAGATTAAATTAGGAACTTAATTTTAAGAAAACTAAAAAGATATAAGTTTTATTATCGATCCATTCAATCGTAACCTTTTTAGTGAGATATCTCGATTGACGATCGTTATCTCGATTGACAATCGTTATAGCTATTGTCGGACTATTTTAGTTTGTTGAAGAACATTTTGTGTAACATGATTTTGGTTGTAGTTTTTATTGATTTTTCATTGATGACTTTTATTAAAATAATTTGTGTTGTTGTCTTCAACTTGATTTTTCGTTGACAGATTTTATAAAAATAATTTGTATTGTTGTTTTCAACTTGATTTTTCATTTACATATTTTATGATTTTATAATTTTATGATACCTAATGATAGTTCACTTTTTACTTGTGATTTGAGTGGCGATTTTATGATTTTTATAATGCTGAATGACGGTTTGCTTTCCATTAATAATTTAAGTATTGATTTTGTGAATTTATAATACCGAATAAGGGTTCCCTTTCTATTTATGATTTGAGTGAAGATTTTATGTCTGTCTTGCACTTATTTGAGCAACCGGTTTAAATAAATGGACATGGTATGTTAGGCTTGCATATCCTTCCCAGTCGAAGTTTCAAGTTCAAATTAGTAGGAAATTATATGAATGTGGAAAAAAAAAAAAAGGCAATTATGTTCTGATAAAAACAAAAACTAATGATTTCTTGGTTTCAATTCCAAGCTGAAAAAAAAGCTAGAGGAAAACGACTTTAGACGAAAAAGAAGAAGCACATGATACTGATCCACCAGGAAGAGAAACACTAATTTTAGAATGGAAGGAAATACAGGTCCTTTTTGTTTGTAATTAATTTGTATTTTTCTAGAATTGGAGGCCAAGATCCTATAGGCATTCACAAAAGATAGAAGATACAGAACTGTAAATTATTAAGAGGAATTATACAGTACATCTCTCTTATGATAATTTTTTGAAATAAAACCATTTTGATTTTTTAAAGAAGAAGCATATGATACTGATGGATCCTCCGGAAAGAGAGACACGAATTTTATTTTTTGAATATATCAATTTTTTCAAAAATATCAATCAAGTTTTCTATCAAATTTTTCGTCTAATTATAACAGTTAACACAAAACACTAAATAACTATATTGTCTTTTTTGTTGTTTTTTCTTCCCAAATTATTATTATTATTTAAATTTTTTAAAAAAGATTGACGATATGTATAATTTGGGACGTGTACATGCCAACTGCAAGCTTTTTTTTTTAAAAAAAATAGTTAAATAACAATAATAATTTGAAAGGAGAAAACAAAGAAAATGACAATATAGTCATTTGAGTTAACTGACACGTCATTCTTAGATAAAAAAATTGATGAAAAATTTTGATTAATATTTTTGAAAAAATTGATATACTTAAACAAAATAAAAATAAAAATTAATGTAGTCAATTAAAAAAAAATTCAAAACTGATGTGCTTATAATGTAGTTTTTCCTTTGATTGTCGAATAAAAAAACATATATGTATTATTCTAAAAAAAAAGATTATTGCTTCCCTTTTATTTAAGGACCATTTTCATTAAGTAAGGGGACCGAGGCCATTAATTACTAATCTTTTAATAGGACAAAACTCAAATAATTACAGAATCATTTCATTATGGAGTTATTGCCTCACATATCCTTTTGAATAAATGTATTCATCTTGTACGTCTAACTGAACAATAAATGATAAGCTGAATTTTTAGGTTTGAGATATTTTGAGCATCAAAAAAAAAAAATAATAACTAGCTTTGGTTTTCAAGATAAAACTAGAATAGAGTTCAAATCAAACACAATATATATTCGTATTAAAGCAATGAATCATAACTCTTTCTGTGTGTATATGAGTGCGTATATTTTTTAGTTATATAGCTAAAAAAAATACTAGTAAATAAATGGGTTAGAGTGAGTAGTGATAATAAAAATATATGTTTACGTTAATTTGTATTAAGTTCAAATTAACTCAGTAGAATTTCCACGAATAATAATAACAATAAAAGAAGTCTTAGCATATCATTAGACGGTTAGGAATCCATCCTCTACTAGCTAGCACTTATGTGATACCTGGTAAGTAGCCATCCATCACGTGCACTTCTATCACCAACCTGCGCCAACTGCTTTAAATGCCTACCAACCTCGTCTCTAACCTTCTGTGAACGCAGATTTTAATTTCGTTTGGTTTGACTTTTCCTTTTCTTTTCTTAATTATTACGGTGGGCATGGAAGTTTGTTTCTTAACTTGACCTTTTGAATTCGAATCTAAAAAGTTAATTTCTAAAAAATATTTGTGAATTTAAAAATATCAAGTGAATGTGACTAATGATTCCTTAATAAGGCTAAATGAAGTGTTGTGGTTTTATTATTAGGTTAACACTCGGTGATACGCTGTGGATTTTTTTTTTTTTTAATACAGAAAATTGTTTAGTTTTTAAACTGTAAAGTGTTCAGATTTCAAAAGTCAGCTGATTTTTTTCTTCTTATATTTTATATTTATACTATTTTTCACTATAGCAATGAACAGTATTAATTACTGTTTTATTACTATAGTATTTTGGCTTTTTTTAGCCAGCACCCTCTGGCCTTCTCCCCCTATATTTGAACAGTAAATGGCTTGCCTTCCTTCTTTTTTTTTTTAATTTCCATACGTTACTGTTCACATGAACAGTAAACGATTGGCTCTTATTTTTTTTCCTAAACATTGATTTTTTTTTAAATTTTTGTTTCTTAATAATATTGGACGTTAAAATTTTAAAAGAACCAACAATTAATTGGGTGTTAAAATTTTAAAGAAACCAACAATTTATTTATTTTTATTATTTATTTCTAAAATTTAAAAACACAAATAAGAAATAGTTAAATACAAAATTTTTCATTAAAAAATTATAATTATTTTTTACCATAAAACAGATTATTAAACTGAAATAATTTTTCTAAATGATTTTATATATTTTATCCAATCCGCAACATAGCGTAGATAAAAAATCTAATTAACTCGCTATTTGAACTCATACAATAGCATTTAGATGTGCTATAAAAGTAACTATCGTAACTATATTGATCAAGACTTTACATTGTTGAAGAATGAAACTATAACATCTCACGATTTGTTTACTCTATATTGCTAAACTCTTAATCTCTTACCTTTTTAAAAAACATCAATAATTTTATTACTTCATGCAGAAAAAAAGAAAAAAGAAAAAAGTTTGATTTAGATAGATTTTTATCAATAAAAGATTGGTAGAAAGAATTTGGTTATTGAATGTAAAAATAGCAATTATTAAATTTAATGGTAGCAATGAATCTGGAAAGACAAAAACACCATGTTTTTTTATTAAAAAAAAACAAAAAAATCTTCACCCACCAAATAAAACCGATATACCAAGATCATCAAGCAATAACTTAAACAAAATTAAATAAAACAAAATGCTTGACTTATTGAAAATATAATTAACTCTTCTATCAAAATTATTTTCTAGAAGAATCCTGACAAGTATGCAATAACACAGTTAGCTAAATTTAAAATATAATTAACTCTTCTACAGACCATAACATTTAACTTGACTTATTGACCGGTGAGGTTGATCCAAAATAATTTAGGTATGAGACCAAACAAATTTTTGCCACCAACTGCAATGCATTGACCCAAAAGCTTGACTCCTTGAGATAGTTAAAAGAAATGTTTGGTCATGAAACAAAAACAAGGACTACTTTGTATTTTTATCGAGTATATTATAAATTAGTTCTTCTAGTTTCAAAAATTATTACTTAATTTTTTTATTAATATTAATCATATTTAATTTAATATTATTTTTATTTCATAAAATCTCTTATTTTCTTATCAATCTTTCCATATTTTTTTCTTTTTCTTATTTCTTAAGATAAAAAATCAAAATAAATTAAAAAAAGAGTAAAAAAAGCTAAATTAAAAGAAATAAATACAGGGATTAAATAATTAGTTTTTAAAATAAAACGGATAAATTAATTTATTTTTTTAAAAGAAAGGGCCTCATTTATAATTTACTCTACTTTTTATCTGGTTGTTTGTTCCGGTTTGACCCCAGAGTAGTGGGCCCATCAAATTCCTCACTGTATCATAAATGTCTCCGTTTTTGCTAGGCAGATATATTAAACGCTGATAAGATCTAGTGGCCCTACTACAGTGAGGAATTTGATGGGCCCACTACACTGTAGTCACCACACGAAACCCAAACCGGACAAACAACCACATAAAAATAGAATAAATTATAAATTAGTTCCTTTTTTATAAAAGAATTAACTAGCCCTTATTATTTAAAAAATAATTATTTAGTCCTTATATTTTGAACCTTACTTGTAATTTAGTCTTTTTTTCTCAATCTTTCCATATTTTTTTCTTTTTTCTATTTCTTAAAAGAAAAAAATCAAAATAAATTAAAAATAGTAAAAAAGACTAAATTACAAGTAGATTTCTAAGTATATGGACTAAATGATTAGTTTGTAAAATAAGAGAGACTAATTAATTTTTTCTTGAAATGAGAGGGACTAATTTATAATTTACTCTATTTTTAATCTGGTTGTTTGTTCCAATTTGGGTTTTGCGAAGTGAATCCAGTGTAGTTTAATTCAAAGGATCCAAATACGGTGAGGAATTTGATGAGCCCACTACACTGGAGTCACTTCGCAAAACCCAAACCGGAACAAACAGCCAAATAAAAAATAGAGCAAATTATAAATTAGTCCCTCTCTTTTGAAAAACAAATTAATTAGTCCTTATCATTTCAGTGTTGAGTTTTTTTACAAATGGAGGGACTGATGTTGTGCATCTATCTGATTAGTTCATGAACCAAATCGACAGTTTATGAAGTTCCACGAAAAAAACAAACATAAACTAATCTTTTAACTATCGTAGCTTTTGATTTAGATGTTTGATTTACACAACTTATATCAATGTAAACAACTTATTCAGAGCCTTATAAAATAAAAAGATGACAAAAGCCATAAAAGACCATTTTCAAAGTTAAAATCCACCCCGAAAACCCACTTTTAAGCCTTTTGTGATTCAAACCTCCAGAATCACCTAGATCGCTCTAGTGTAGGAATTAAGACTTTATATTTTGTTTCTTTTATTAATTTTTGTATTTTTAAAATTAATTTCTAGATTTTTAGTTTATTTATTTTCTAGTTTTAACTCTTGATCAACTAGGGCATACTAATTATACTATTTGCAAGTATTTGACCATTGTTATCGTATTATTTAAAAAATTCAGACTTATAAGTTTTCCACACAATCTCTTCTTTTTGAGAATTTTAAATACTAAATAACGACATATTAATATGCTATATGTTGGGTAAGATTTATAAACATTCTCTTTTTTCTTTTTCTTTTTTTATCTAAAGATGTACAATCTTGAACGAATATATATATATATATATATAGACACCAATTTTTGTAGGATTTTTTATTTTATTTTTCATGCCATGATAATAAATCAATAATATTTTATCATAAAAAAGAGCTTAATGAGATATTATTATTCCCAAAATGGGGCTAAAAAAGTTTATTTAAAAGATGGTGTCAAAACCTGTTTTATGATCAATAATATGATAGCTAGATTTCATGTGCTCTTGATGAGATATTATTATTCTTATTTTTTGAGAAATCATATAGTTGCTCATATTTGGTAGCAAATTACCCAAACTTTATTTTCATTTCAATTTCCCTGATAATTTACCCCAATTATTACCATCAATCGAAAAAGTTTCTTTTTCTTGCAGGATCTTTTGGGATTAACGGTGCATCTTTTGGAAACTTCATTATTTCTTAGGTTAAAAGAATCAGCCCAATATGGTAGGCCCTAATCACCAACCCAAACTAAGGAAGCGTACGAAAGATAACCGGAGGCACACTATTCAAAATTAATCCACCCTTAACGGCTAGTTTCCTTGCAAAGGTGTGAATCCGTGTGCTTGTGTTTAGGCTCCAACGGTCAAATTCTCACTTTTATAAACCCTACCTACTTTGCCAAGAACATCTATTACTTTGTATTTTTTCTTTTGTCTTTCAAATCTGCTTTGTTGCGTCGCATTTTTTCTCTCATTCTCTTCGCTCAGATTCTTTGTCTCATTCCGATGGAGACCCCATCTTCAACAAAAATAGTCACAAGATCACAAACTCTTGCTGCTCTTAACAACACCAACAATAATATTCCTCTCTCAAGTGAGTGACATGATCCTTAACGTTTTTTTTTTCTCCAAGAACTCAAACACTGAGAAATAATGGGTTTGCATTAACTCTTGGGTTTGCTCAATCTTTGATTGATAAAGATTAGGTTTATACAGTTTCTTGAATTGTTTCATAAGATTTCTTGTTTTTCTTATCCTGTTTCAGGGAAGATTGAAGATTCTTCTGATAAGGCGGTAACAAAATCAAGAAGAATGAATGCAAAACAACAACAACTACAAGATAGGTCTGCACTCATTGATATAACAAATGATTCACCAATTGTTGGCCTCGCAAAGGGAAGTTTAGAGACTCCATCATCAGCATTAGGCAAGCAAAAGAGCAGTATAGCCAAGAACAACATCCCCAACACACCTGGGTCTGGAGAGGCATTGCTTAGGGGTCAAGTAAAAACCCTCTTGCAGAGAGTTGAAGAAGAGGCAGAGCTCTCAAAACTTCCATTGGAGAGCCGTCCTTTTCTGAATCTTCAAGGATTTGTTAATTCTCCAATGGGACTTCTTGCCCCAACTCCAGCAAATACACCTCAAGTCCCTAGTCTTTTTGGAGATGACATTGTCTTGACCTCTGTTACTCCTTTGCCAGTTATTGAAGAGCCACTGAAGATTTGTGAGGTAAGAATACCTGCTCTTGGCTGATTGTTCATTCAAAATAAACTGAGAATTTTGAGTTTTTATTTTCTTTTCTTTCTTGTTAAGGTCCGTTATTCATGAAAAAAATAGCTAAAAATATAATATGGATAATTGTTTGTTTTATTTATGCTATTTCTTTTTGTTCTTGATAATCTAGAGTTTGATAAACTATTGCTTTGAATTTATTTTTTTTATGATCTTATTGGATCTGAGTTCTTGTCTTAATTTTCTCAATTGCAAATAGTGATGTTAATTTGTTGTTTGATACATGGCAGGAGGTGAGTGAGATTTTTGATGTGATGAGACAAGACAGTCTTGAATCTCAAAAGAGTCTGACAAGGTCATTAATGCTGGATTTCTCTGAGAAATCTGAAGCCTCCGATTCATCAGAATGCTCTTCTGCACTGACTTACCAAGGAGATAACCGTGGAGCGATGACAAGTGAAAGCAAAGACAAATCATCCATTACAGAAGATGACAATGCCTCTATTTGGTCCATTCAGGTCAATGCAAGTACTCATGATGAGGATGAGGAAGAAGTCATAATTGAAGCAGAAGATGACCAGTATTTTTATTACCATGATGAAAATGAAGAGGCAGAAGAAGAAGAGGAGGAGGAGGCCGATGATGGAGGGTTGCTTGATGAACTTTGTGAAGGTATTAGCAAGATATGCGTGAAAGAGAAAGCAATGGCTAAGTTTGAAGGAAAGCACAAAAAATTTGTATACAACAGTGATGATGAGATTGTTGAAGAAGAAGAAGTAGACTGTCGAGATGAGGATTCAAATGGTGTTTTACGCTTGAAAGGTTTGCCAACTCCAAAAGGGAAGCATCTACGCTTTCATACAGAAGAGGAATGAGTGGTTTTTTTTACCTGATTAGTTGATTTTTTTGTTGGATGGTTGTCTTTCTCGACACCAATTTGGAGGGATATTCCTTTGCTTTGTTTCAGCATTTTGTGGGTTTGGTTGGTTGGTTTAGAAATGAAAATGAAACTGTATGAAACAAAGATTGATGAAATAATAGGAAATGATATAATTTCCCTTTTAGTTTAATTTACTTCCCATCTCATTTTGTTAGTTCATAATGGGAAATGATATAATTTATGACTACGTCTAGATATTCAATTTTTCCAGGAAAAAAAACATTAATAATGTCTTCAATTTTCTGGCAAATCCGGTTTCAAGTCATAACTTCAGCTTGACAAATCAACTGTAACGTTATGAATACTTTGTATTTCATAACATATACAAAGTTTCATACAAAGTATTTCATATTCAACTGCGTAAGAAGGTTATGAAATACAAAGTATTTTTATACCATAGTAAGTGGTGGTAAGATTGGAAGGACTCAAAGATGACATACGTCAATGGTGTGTCGATAATAACCAAATGCATAACTTGGTGTGTTTTACGAAGGAATTGGTTCTAATGGATCTTTTGAATGCGATCAATTCTTAATTTTGTCTAAAAAGTTTATATGATCCCTTAATCCTTCTATAGATAAGAAAATTCGAATGACATGGAAGACTCAAAGATGACATGGGTCAATAATGCATCAATGGTAATCATATGTATAACTTAATGTTTCATCACGTTAAAAGACTTTTTAATAAGTAGCTTCTTAGTTCTAGTAGATCTCTTAAACGTAGTTAGTTTTTTATTTTGTCTAAAAGATTTATACGATCCCTTAATGCTTCTCTTACTAGTAAGAAAATTCGAATGACATGGGTCAATGGTGCCTTGACGATAACTAGATGCATAAAATGGTGTTTCATTACTTTAAATACCTTTTTACGAACGATTCTATTTGTTCTAGTGGATCTCTTGAAAGTGATCAAGTCTCGATTTTGTTTGAAATATTTATATGATCCCTTAGGGGTGGTAAGTTTGGAAGACTCAAAGATGTCATTGGCCAATGGTGCATAAATGATAACCGGATGCGTAACTTGGTGTTCCATCACTTTAAAAGCTTTTTTACGAAAGAATCTATTGATTTTAGTGGATTTCTTAAATGTCTTTAATTCTCGATTTTGTTTGAAAGATTTATACGATCCCTTAGCGCTTCTATCACCGATAAGGAAATTCAAATGACATGAGTCAATGGTGCATCGGCAATGGCTAGATGCGTTAATTTGGTGTTTCCATTTTTTTAAAAGCTTTTTTACAAAGGGGTTTATTTGTTCTAATGAATCTCTTGAATGTGGTCGGTTCTTGAATTTATTTGAAAGATTTATATGATCCCTTAGTGGTGATAGGATTGAAAGTCTCAAAGATGACATGAGTCAACGGTGCATTTATAATAACTAGATGTGTAACTTGGTGTTTTATTGCTTTAAAAGCCTTTTTACAAAGAAATCTATTGGTTTTAATAGATCTCTTAAATGTGGTCAATTTTTGATTTTTTTTGAAGGATTTATAAAATCCTTTAATGCCGCTATTACTAAGTTATACATGATTTCTTTTTTTCTTTTTACAAAAGAAAAACGACTAAAAAATATAAGAGGTCAAGCTTTGATACCATGTTGATTTGAGGGAGAAAGAGAGAGAGGAAGAGGGAGAAGCAATAAAACATACAAAAAAGGGATTCACTTTATTATGCTTTATGCCCACATATAAAAATATATGTAAATTACCCTAACATGATAATTATAGCAATCCTAAATTAAGAAAATTATATCATTATTACACTAAGCTACCACATATAGCTATATAGCTATCAACACATAGGTCAATGGTGCATCGATGATAATCGGATGCGTAACTTGGTATTTTATCACTTTAAAAGCCTTTTATAAAAGAGTTTATTGGTTTTAGTGGATCTCTTGAATGCAATCGGATCTCGATTTTGTCCGAAAGATTTATACAATCCTTTGATACTTCTATTACTAATAAGGAAATTCGAATGACATGAGTCAATAATACATCGAGGATAACCAAATGCATAATTTGGTATTTCATCATTTTAAAAACCTTAGTTTCTTGATTTTAGTGGATCAGTTAAATATGTCGGTTCCGATTTTTGTCTTAAAACTTTATGTGCTCCTTGGGGATTTTATTACTCGAATTGCACTTTTTATATGTATCTTTTAACGGTTCCAGCAGTGGCCAAGAGTGGACGATATGTATGTTGCTTTCTATCAAACATAATGGTATACAGTTGGTCCATCTCTTTGTTAGTTCATTCAGCAGGTGTTCAGGCATGAAATCCTGTAAAGCTCGCTTACCAAAGCTCAGACAGTCTTGAAAAACGGTGGCCCAATTTTGCGGTATTGACCTGTGCAATGTTTCCTATAAGATTCTAACGAAAGTTATTGTGAACCGCATGAAACCCATACTTCCTTTAGTGATCAATTGTGCTCTATTATTATAAAGTATCTTTCATCAGTATCTAGATAATGGTAAAACAAAACTTACACTTCCCAACTTAAAGATGATGTGAGATAGTTAAGCAAATAAAAATTTGTAAATTAGGCGTCATAGATGTGAACTTCAAGACAAAGACTTCACGGGTTGTTTATTTATGGAATAATGCATCATGTATTAGACAACAAAATTGCTCCCCGTTTTATTATTCCGCATCACAAATAGTAAAAATTAAAAAAATACACGTCTGAGTTCAATTTGAATAGATTGGGCAAATTAATTGTTCCAAATAGACCAATGATGAACTGAGATACACACCATGAACTACTGGAATAAAAACTTTCATCTGATGGCAAAATTTTCGTGATGCAACTAACTAAATTCATTCATTGATGGAACAATTAATCATTGGTAATGCATTCATATATAAAGCCTGCATTAAACTACCTAGACTTCAAAATGAATGACAACTACCAGCAAGCAATTTCCAAATTCAGCTGTACATAATGATTATTTACAATGGAAAACCATTATTGACATTTAATCGCTATACACTCCATTTCATGGCTTAAAACCAGGGATGCCATGTTGGATCCATCATGCACAAGTTCCTTGGTGTCAAAGCAGCTTCAACCAACTCAGTCACACCCCTCTGCACTGACTGTGGCGGATCAACAGCATTTTCCTCCTGATGCAGCACAAAATGGGAAAGAAAACAAAACATGTCAACAAAGGAAAAGAATTAGTTTTAGGATCTTAAATTCTTCCACTGTTAATCACATTATTGGGCATGCATATCGGTATCATTACAGATTTGGGGAAACACATCTTAAGTCACCTTTTTTTTGTAATATGCTCATTGACTCCTTGAATACTATTGGTGCAGTCAATATGAAGAAATTAGCTACTTTTGTCTTGGTTTTAATTCCAACCAATTAGGTTGGAATGTTAATGAATTTCCTTACATCTGATTCCAATCTTAAGTTGATACCCAAAATTTCCCACAGCCAACTGTTGCCATTACAGATACCAAAAAGCCCCCTTTTCCTCACAAGCATTAATAAAAATCCAGCCTCAATTCATCCTACAAACTGTAAAGCCATGGTGCTTTAATTTCAATCTTGAACTCCACAATATTTTAAGGTTATGTTTGGTATGACTTGTGCAAATTGATTATTATTTTTTTTTTTAACTTTTTACTCAAAAAAATTATTAGCATATTTGGTTAGAAATAACATTGACTTACATCAAAAGTTCGTTCTAAAATTGTGTCAAAATTTTGCTTTAATCAAAAGCTGAAATTTTTAACTTAAGGATTCTAACTCATACTACATTTCTTCTTCAAAAGGGTTGTTATTAGTCATTTTTACCAAACATACTTTTAATTTGATGTCAACTTAACTCATTTTGTCATAAGTTATCTGTGAAAAACAACTTTTAAAATATGACTCGAAGTCAAAAGTTATTTTTCATAGGTCATGCCAAACAGACTCCAAGTCTTAGTTCAGAACAAAGAGAGTGGGAGACCAGAATTCAAATCTATTTGACATCCAAGGCAAATCAGGCAACTGATCTGAAAACGCCTTCCCACTACATCAGGTATACATGAGGTTTTTTGCCACAGATTTGGTGCAACTTGATAATGTTAGTGACTAAGTAGTACACATACTATTTATAAATACCAAAATATGTACATTTGATGAGAGATTGGACATAGAAGTTACCTCTTCAGAGAGAAACTGCGGGGCAATTCCAGTGATACGACTGATGACATGATCAACGTTGGTGGTGACCTTATGCTTGAAATCAGCAGGATTCATACTACTCCCTCCGGCAGCAGGTCCCAGATTCAATCCAAGCGGTCTTCTCCAAGACCAAGACAGAAGCTCATCACGGAAAAACATGGCTAGTTGATGCCATAAATGTTGACTTTGCTGCAAAATAGAAATTTGAAAACATTACATCAGGATGATATCCATCGAAGTAACTGACTGACCAAATAGATGTTCTTACTAAAACTTACCTTAGGTGAAACCACAGCCTGTGCTGCAGCACACATGGCAGAAACAATAAGACCTTCAACTCCGAAATGGGAAAAGAATGCCTGCATGTTCCTTGTTAGCCGAAAAGGAACTGGTTCATTAAACTCAATCATGCCATTTGCATCATATGCAGGGTGAAAATCTGTCTGGAAAATTTTGCCGGTGTTTTTAGCAAACAATATCTTATTTGGAGACCTTCCTCCAATTTGCAGCATGAAAGACATGAAACTTGAAAGTGCTAACTGGATTGCAAATTGCTTTTTAAAAGCCCACATATGATTGCCACTGAGCAGAGTCTTGTACATATACTGGGAAAAGATGCCATCAGAAACGTAAGTCTTAGTTATCTCACTATAAGCTTGAAGGCGAAGATCCACAACAGCTTCAGGAGAGATTTGGCCAGATATAGCTTGGTTTAGTTGCTCCTTGAAGTAGGTGATCGGAAGATCTGCTTCTCTGTCATTCCTTGCACAATGGTTCTCATACACTTCAAGAAAAGTGCTATACATTAAATCATCTTCAACCATGCGGACCTGTCCGTAAGAGAACATTTATCAGAATTATCATTCAGATAGGTCTTTATTAGCCCTATCATGTACATGCCACCAGAAAATAATGTACAAGCAGAAAAAAAGAACACCATAGATTCTGTACCCACTATAAGATATTATGTCCTCTCTTTAAATCATTTTCATCATGCTTATCCATTTAAATATTGAAAAACAATTCAGGCAGCGATAATTACCTGGGACCAAACAGGAATGATGATTGGAGTGTGAATGCATATATGACGACGTCTTGATTCTTTGTGCTTATCAAACATCTGGTTCATCACACGGAAAAGCTGCAATATTCGTTCATCACTTCTTGCGTTAGGGGTCAAGGATGTCTGGACAATAAAATGACGTTGAGAGCCATCAGAGCCGATTAGAGTCAGACGCCTGAAGCTGCTTCCATGCCTTCGAACAATTGGAATATCAGCTCCAACCCTGTCTAACTTAACTGTGTGGTCTGGTGCAATTTCCTGGAATAGTTAAATAGTTTCATAAGGAAAGGAGGACAAAAAATCCAATAAATAGGTGGTCCAAAATTTCAAATGGTGAATGACATGGTACTAGTTCAAGTAATAATATCAGTTTCCAAGATCTATTTATCCATGCCAGATACAAAAACTACAGCATGTAAAGCAGAGATCCATCACAGAAGTTGACATATGACAAATGTGGCTCAATTACCTGATCACAAAAATACTGTCCTGGAACCTCTACATCAACAACATGGAAGTCACGCAGCACCCTGCTTTCTTCTTCAAGCTTTAAAACAGTTGGAAACCTGTCCTCGACATTGCTCTGTAGAACATTTTTCCAATGTTTCAATCGAGCAGTCAGTTCAGAAAGAGTGGCAGGGAAAGTATCTGTACTTTCGGGATCAAGATCACGCTCAAAATCCTGCTTGTAGTCTCTAACAAAATCAACATGCTTGTTCACAGCATCAGCAGAGAAGCAAGCCCTGCAAACGCCAGAGAGTTCTTTCTTGAGAGATTGGGGAACCTCTCCTGTAGTGGCAGTTGGGTACTTGTAGCAGCGGTGGAGCAGTGCATTAACCACTGCAAGAAGTCTCTCCTCTGGCAGAGTCACAAACCGGGAACCAATTTCTGTGAGCAGAATCTGCAAAACCGGACTTTTATTACAAAATAATATAATTGAACAATAGTGGAAAAGACCAAAAAACAATATGCATATGGTATAATGAGCGAGTGTTAAGAAATTGAGCACTTGGTTTCTTGTTATTTTTCCTTCCCCAGGAGCTAGTGAATTTTCAGTCTTAACATTTATAATACTTTTGTGAAGTATATAATAAAAGTATAACTGAAGCAAGATATCTAGCATGACAATCATCACCTCAAGTTCACCAGCCAAATTACTGTGTTTGCTTCTAAGAGCCTCCATTATCTCCTTTGCAGCTTCAAAAGCACTGGCAGCAGAGGCGACAAAGCCCAATGCACCATTACGCCTCACTGCATTCTGACCACTTTCACTGATCATTGATGAACTTTGTTGTAAAGGTTGATCATTCCCTGCATGCACACTGCTTTCGACTGCTGTGGATCTTTCAGGTTCTTGCCCATGAGTGTTTCCACCATCATGAGATCCAATCCCACCACCAGATTGAGTGCCTTGATGAACTGGATTATCTGTGGCTAAGGCACTGCTGTTTCCTTGACTCTGCACTCTGGCATTTCCATCAGCCAATCCAAGAGAGCCAGCCCCAACAGCAGATGCTTGCTGCATTCTTTGGTGAGCCATTGCCAATCTACCTAGTTCAGATTTATTTGCAACATCACGACGCTCAAGCAAATATGTGCGGAGCCAGTAATACAGAGCCTGGAAAAATTTAGAGGGGAGAAAAATCAAGATTAATGTAAATATAATGGTATAACTTGTCTGTTACAAATTTCTTGATTGGGGAACAACATTTACCTGTGGATACACAGTGGCAATTTTCAGTAGAACAAGTTTGCAATGAGGTGCCTCAGTCCTCTGCAAAGAAAGTAACAGCTGCGGAATCCACGAAAGCCAAACCCAGTGAGGTATTTGCTCCAAGTATTTATCAAATGCTCTCCCCACAGATTCACTGGGAGTATCGAAGCTGAGAAGATATAGCACCCGAGCTAGATGGTTTCTGGAATTGGAAACACCAAATTTGATGCCTTGAAGAAAGCAGCTAACAGCATATTCCAGCCAAATTTCTTCCTGATTATCTCTGTAAGCCTAAAAGCCAGAGAAAATCAGTAACAAGTACCAGAACCTGGTAACACAAATTGCAAAGCAACTATGCAAGTAAATAAAAACACATACCATATCACAATAATTCCCCCAGCTTATCCATCCTTTAGGCAAGTTCTTGAAAAGGCTGATGGCATTGGAGTATGCAAGATTAGCACCTTCCGTGTCATTTATCTTCGAAAAAAAATCCCCTCTAAGGCGAAAAATTTCAGCTTTGTGTTTCACAGGAAAATATTCCAGATTTGTGCTGTTAATCAAATTGAGACCGCTTGTAAGCTCTCCCTTCATCTCAAGATAAGCCTTTGCCTGCTCTCTTATCTTAACAAAGGCTTCCTGCAAACATGAAACAAAAGAATGGATGACATACTTCATCTATTCTCCCTCCCAAAAAGGCGAATCAGAACAGCACAATCACCCAAAAAGAGAAGAAAGAACAAAAAATTTGTTGTGCAAAATACAAAATGACCAACACACTGCTTAGTTGACAATGAGAATCACCAGAGCATTCAGAGTCTATGACTGTTTGAGCTATTAAAACTAGTCATATCATTAAACTGAATATTTGAATGACAAAATTCCAATTACAGCAACATATCAATTAAGAGATGGTCCTGAGAATATATATTAGCAAATAGTCAGGACAATCCTACATCTCAGTTTAAGAACTCCCCAATTCAACAAAGAAGCAAATCAAAACACATATAATAGATGTCAATCTTTTGGCAGAGGATATATTTTCCTGCCAGACAGAGACTTCTAAAGATTTCATACCTGCACTTCCATGGTTGAATGACCATACATCTTTTCAAGAATTGTCACACAAACATCATAAAGGCCTTGCTTACGAGCAATATGAGCAAGCTTATTCACATTCCACGCTTTGTCTCGAAAACCAAGGTGATGTAGTTGTGGATTTGCTGTGCCAAAATCCTTGAACGCATCGATTACAGAATTATACATTTCATTCCGCCACTGGAGCAGATCATACCAGACAGACATGTTATCCCATTCATTTGGGGTTCTCAGTCTCCAAGTTTCAAGAATGTCCTTGAGATCTGCATAGAGGTTACCATGCACACCAACAGAAGTGCTAGAAAGTTTGTTTCCATTTGCAATGTCCACAAGAATTCGAGCAGATTCTTGAACTTCAACCAACTGCTGGAATTGCTGCAAAAGAGGAATCCTGGAATGTACAGACATTTCAGGCAACTGCCACCACTGTTCTAAAGCAAGATCAACCCCTTTTCCCACTATGTTTTCTGCATCCCCAACACCATTTGTATTTCTATCATGTAGAGCAAAAAAGGCTTGAATTAGACGGAGTTTTGGAGTTTCTTCTACCTGAGCCTTGGGGATGACATGATCCTTCATATATGCCCAATCAGGCAATTTCCAGAGGCTATCAAGAAGAATTTCATAATTCTCAATACTTTTACCAAAGTCAACCAATGCATCCCACTGACTCAATTGACTAGCACAGTAAAGCCACTGCTCTTCCCAGAGACACATCTCAGCCTTAGGGACTGTGTTATTGTATGTGCCTTGAGTTGCCTTAACCATGGCTTGGTAAAAGAGGCTTTGGGCACGCTGCCAGTAACCATGCTGAACTAGTGAAAGTCCAGCTCTTGTTTCTGCAGTGATTGACCTCTTTTTCCACAGCCCACATCTCATATCTTCTTCATTGAGCAAACGATAAAGCTCAGCTAGTGACTCGGAACACTTTGTCTCATTCATGAATAGCATGACATGACTTTCTAACAATGCCAATGCAATGTGCCATGCATTATATGTTTTTCCAATGTACTTAATGAGTTCACTTGGCATCCGAGGTTGTGGGTGGCTCAGCTGAAGACCTTCTAGAAGTGCTTGCACCACATTTGGTCTGCTGGCTTGCTGCTTCTTGTGATAATCTTTTGATAAGAGAGTGATCATTGGTTTAGCTAATGTAACTTGTTCTTCTTTGTGCAGGGTCACCCAGACAATGGGAAATACCAGCACCCACAAATGGTATGCAACATTTGCATCTGTATGGGCCAGCTCTCTTAATGGAATGACCAGATCAGCCACCTGGAAGAAAAGAAAAGAACTTAAACCTGAGATGACATTCAGTAAAGCAAAACTCTCAAATCACACTGGACTGGATAACTAGACAAGAACTGCACACGGGCATATGACATCACTAAAGTTAACGATGAAGCAGCTGAATCATTAGCTGCTTTCATGTGATGATGAAATGGGGTAAACACCAGAGGCATAAGATGTATTAATTGTATTACTTATGAAACAATTATTGCTACTTAAAAACAGTGTTTTCAGCATAATGGGGTAAGCAATAATAACAATTATCAATAGAGCACAGCAGCATGTATTAACACTTATAGTTCATAGTAATACAGATACTTAGTTGTTAAAGCATGAGATATTACTGAGTAGCAGAACGTTAATGCAATAACCTGAAGTTTGTTCATCTCATTCAGAAACTGGGCATGCTTAAGAACTAGACTATCAAAAGTGAGAGGAGCGTCGTCGGAACCCTCTGGAACATCAGCAACCTGTTGCTGCAACCCAGAGCTATCTGGAAGAGAACTTGAGACCACAACTGGCTGAACCCTGGCAGAATTAGGGGCAAGTGTGATTGGTTTGTCCTCAACTAAGATTGCCAGAAGAAGATCAAGGCCCTGTTTGAGCCAGAAAACATCACTTAAAGCTTCCCAGTCCTGACCTTGGATAATATACTGCAGCCTTGTAAACAACGATTTCACAAGAGACTCATGATAAAGCGAAAAAAATTTCTTCCTAATGTCAGGATCTCTTGCTCGTAAACCAAGCATGCATTGCCTTTCCACCTTCTGAAACACCTCCTGACGTAGGGCAAATTGATACCTGGACATCAATCAAATAATATTGTTAACCCATGGTGGTATAAAAACACCAATTATCTAAAAACACTGCTTACTTTGAATCAGCACAAATTCCAAAAAGAAGCTGAAGATATTTCCTGTCCCACTCTTCAAGAGCATCAGGGCTGAAGTTTAGCTTATCAACTTGTGAAAGCTTTTGAAGAAAAGAGACTATTTCCTTAGGACTAATAAAACTGCTTGAAGTGACTCTTCCAGGTTTGCAGAAATCATCTTCAATCCACCCTTTTATCACATCTAATATGCAAAGAAGCACACTAGCATCAGTGCCTTTCTCTGAAAGCAAGGCATTCAAGATTTGAGTTACAGACCGTTTGCAATCAGGAACAACCATCACTTTTTCGCTAATAAGCTTCAGCACAGATTTTAAATTAGAGATGACTGCTCCAAGATCAGCACCTTGACGAGAAGAAGAGACCGCCGAATCTGGATCAGTTCGTTGACCCTGATGTAGAGAATAAAACTATAAATCTATGCACGTAAAAAAGATTAATACATGGTACATCATCACTGATTATGGGAAATGAAACTGTCAATATAAATGTTTTGCACATCCAAATAGGTTATTCGTTAAACGCTGTTAATAACCAAGGAAAAAATAGATTGTCTTTATTTGCATGGTCCCATTCTATATCAAAGTGAGGCTACTGATGGTCTTTAATAGGCTTGGATACTACTGGAGGTAATACCACAAACTTTTGTATCATGTGTCAATGTAGAAGGAAGACACCAAGCCACTTATTTTTTACACTATTCAGTAGCTTATATAAATATATATATCCTGCATAGTGTGTGTGTGTGTGTGTGTGTTTTACTTCTATGTTTTATTTCTGTTTGTGAAACATTGCAGGATCTGTCCTCTAGGAACTTCACAGGTTTTGGAGGACGAAGGACTGCAGAGTTTAGGGAAAACGTGCAATGTTTGCCATTAATTAGAGCATTCAATCAGAGCACAACTAAAAAATTCTTCAAAATCAAACTATATCAAGATAACAACTTAACAGGGATGGAATTGGTATAACAGGATTTAAAATCTCTCAATATTGAGGCAGATTTGGCATATGATCGCAAGGAATGGTGCAAAAGGATCCATAAAGGCGACCCAATGAGTTTGGGATTGAAGCTCTGTAGTTGTTGTTGTTTCTAAATATTCAGAAGGCATTGGGATTCCCTAATGTTTTAAATTTTGTTTATCATTTAATTTAGTCCAGTAAGATACCATATTCTTTTGGTTGTAATGGCTCATTTTCCCTCCTCACTGAAAATAGTGTCATCTCCATAACTCCCCCTTAACCCCACCTAAAGAGAAAGCCCATGTAACTAAGTGCTAATCACAACACAGAAAGCATATTAGATAAATATGGCAAGGATGCATGCCAAATAAAGAGATGTGATCCAAATTTTTGACATAATACTAAAGGAGGAACAGGCTGGATCATGCATGAAAAATCAACAGACAGAATGTTGGCACGATGCCATTCTGTTTCATGCAACTCTCATTTGTAATTAAAGCTTTTGCATGTGAGTATGACTACAAATTACCATAAAATTCTTCTGAGATAATTAATTGTATTCGAATGACAAAAAGGAAAGGAAATGTTTTACAAAAGCATTTAAAGTGCTTTAGTATTACACATCACCACAAGAACTTAGAAAGGTTATATGATAAAGAGAAGAAAGAAAAGAAAAGAAGCAGAGGCATACTTGTCTCATATGAGAACCTGCTGACGATCCCATATCACGTGCTAGGCGTTGAAGGATACGAACCAAGATGGGTGGTTCAATGTGCTTCCCCACCTCTGTCAGGGTTTTGATGACAAGGAGTACAAAGGAAATCGAACTAACAGACGTATCCTCACCCGATGTCTGAGGGGAAGTAACAAACTCAATGTGCTTCTGTATCAAGTCATCGACCTTCTGATACAATAGCTTCACATCAGATGGTGTACTGGCAGCATCTGGTGGAAAAGCCACGAAGACCATCTTCAACAGAGAGCACAATGACTTTCCAGCATCTAGCATTTTCTGTTTGAAACAGGGTTCTAGAATCTGATACAAACATAAGAGAGATGATGAATACCAAAAATAATGATTATAAACCCAAGGATTGATCAAGAACGACCAAATACATATTGTTTGGGACATACCTGAGAGATCTGGTTGATGTTATTTCTAATGAACAACTGAGGTTGCTTCTCCAAGACCTTATTCATGACATCCAAGCCCTGAGCAAGAGCTGTAGAAGGGTCTTTTGACTGTGATGGTTGCATGCTGTTGAGCAATTTTTCTAAATAATTGAACTTGACATTGGCATTGGGCCACACCTCCAAAGCTTGCGAAAGTAGCTCCAAGGCTTGTTTGTACATAGTAGTAGCTTCCTTGTCCTTAGGCTCTATGACCAAGGCAACCTGTTCCACGCAGTCGACTACATTGTTAACTTTAATCTCCTTACAAAATAAAGAACAAGATAACTCTATATGAAAACCATCTGTTCGGCAACGAGTGTGGTAAAATAGATGTCACAATTTAATCATGCACAATTATGGTAAAGTAAATATAAATGGTAAAGTAAATATAAATGATGACGGTGTTCTTCAATTAGCAGAGAGCTGCAGCATGGAACTTTTTATCCATCTTAGAAACATATCAAATGTTCCATCATGGTGTCAATGTGACTGCATTTTTGCAATATCAAGCCCATCATTTCTGCAGGTTTTGTCAACATGAGTTGGAAAAGATAGGGAAAATTGAGAGATGATTGGACTCGAGGTCATATTTTAGCTGAATCCAAAAGGATTTACCCAATTTTGTAAAGAGTGAATAGAATGTAAGAGTTTATTTTGGTTGTTCTCTGGTAATCTAATTCATGCAGGTTACACAATGAGCTGTAAAATCCGAACTTATAAGGGTCTGTAACCAAAAAAAGCAAACATAAATGAAACGGTAAGCATGATCTTCATCAGACATTGCTTGTATATTATAAGCAAAATTGAAACAAAAGACTCACTCTTATAAGAAAATTGATAATCATTTCTTCCATAGCAGCATTAGGCTTGAATTCTTCATCAGGTTGGCCACCAGGTCCAGGTGTTTCTATATTAGGGATTGAGGAGGCACCACCAGGTGACATGGCACAAATGGATTGAAGACCAGGCTCAACTTTAACTCTCTTACTTGCATCTTCAGGGAAGGTAGATCCATCCACAGCACGCTTGGGATCTGTACCAGCAGACCCAGGGTTAAATCCATCACTAGACTGACTGGGGACATCACTATCAGTCACAACTTTCATTTCATTTTGCCTTTGCCTTTCCCAGCCAACCACCAATCCAGCAAGTTCTATGGCAAGGCGCCTGTTTTCTGTTGTTGTGTTGTATGGCAGCCCAAGTCGACTGAGAGAATTGACCATTTGGGGTACAAACTGTGCCCTGCAGCTGTAGAAGAGATCTGAATGGCGGACAATAAGCTGGAAAATGTGAATCAAATTAGGAATCGAGTGACCTTCCTCAACCAGAATTTTTTTTGTGTATCGTATCCAAATTGGCATGCGAGAATCGCCAAGAGGCAACCTCCGTGGTAATGCTGGCATCAGTATATCAAGAGCCTGCTTGACCAGCAGTTTATTTTCTGGCTGGCAAGTTCTGAGAAGTGCAACAAAGACCTGCATTTTTTAATTTTTATAAGATCTATAATCCTGCTGTGTGAAGCACGATGATAAAAATAGATGCAGCAGGTTTACGTGTTTTCTTTTCCTGCATTCTAGATCAATGCAAATTATTTCAGAATGATGACAACATATCAATATACTCAATTACTACAAATTTGTAGACAGACTTGCAGGGTCATATAATCCGCTTTGTCGACAGACTAGCAGAGTCATATAATCCGCACAAAGGTTCTGATGATGTACAATCCATTTAAGAAAAGCAATTTACGTAGGTAATGGGTTATTCAAATTCATTCCCTTTAACAGAAGTTAGGGCGAGGTCCATAGTTATTTCAAAAGATAGGATACAAAACCCCTGGAAAAAATAAGAGAGAATAGACATCATGTCTGCAGATCTGTTGTCATTTAATTAATTCTTAAGGTACCTGAAGTATAATTTTTTCTGGGGCCTGATAGGCTTCCAAGAAATGGCAAACGTTGACAAACGCCCACTGCTTACTAGCACTGTCCTCACGTTTGAGATGATTCCAGCCAAATTTAATGAGCTCTTTCCGATGATTAACAAGGTCATTTTGGAGATATTTTAGTAGTAAAGTGGCAAGCTGCAAGAGTTCTATCCTCAAAGGCTCATCATATTCTGCAGAAACCTAATCACCAAATGCAGAACATTTCATTAAGGAATAAATTAATGAACCTATAGAAGGCAGAACTATTAACAAAATCCATGAAATAAGTAAAGGAAACATGAAACTTCAAGAGAGAACCTCTTCCGGTGGATCAAGAAGTTTGTCAACAATGGTTTTTATAATACCCGGGTCAACAACCTCCCAACTTTGGCCATTCTGGAAAGCATGAGCAAGCATTGGAAGAATGAGCATTTGCATGACAACCACCAAGTGCTCATGACCAAGTTGTTTTGATTGGAAAAGGTTAAGAAAATGTAAGAGGAGCGCTCTCTTCATGTTGGGTGAATATCCTTCTGCAACCTGAAATAGAAAAATAATTTGTTCAAGCCATAACAGCCAAATGAACTAATAAAAAGTAAAGGCAATCTTCACTATGGGGAAAAAAAATCAAAAATCAACTTAAGTACCTCAATAATATAAAACTCCTTCAAAAAAGTGTAGTCAATGCGACTGTGAAATAAGAAGATGGAGAGGATATCAAACAGAACATTAACTTCTGTTTTGTCATGACGTAAGTAATTCAGGAAGCATTTGACAAGCCATTTGCTTTCTTTAACCTGCATTTGAGAAACAAATAATAAACCAAATGTTTTACAATAAATCAGTCAATCTAACTTAACCAATTAAATGGATGTTTCTTTTCGTTAAAATGTAGCCAGCTTTTGTTTAATTCACGAAAACATGTTCAACGTCAGATGATTGGTAACACTGATTGAACCAACTGCAGAACCTCATTGCAAAACAAAAACACAACTGTGTACGAGGCATACACACATAAGACCAAATTCATATGAATGCACTTCTGTGGTAGTTAGACATAACTACAATAGAGCACCGATAATACAAAAGGCAGCATTTAAAGACATGAGACGAGAAAAAGGTAAAGAAAAGAGATTAATCCATCTAACCACAGATCAAATTCAATGTTCAACATTATTTTATAATCAATTGTGCGTTTGAGTATATAAGACTTTTATTGTTCACCAGTCAACAAGTTATCAAGCAGTGTTGTAGTCATCTCGATAATATTAAATCCAATTGAAGAAAGTTGATATGGCATAAATTGCTAGACACAGTAACCAAACTTACTTGCACTAAGTTCAGCTCTTGTTCATTGTGCAAACGGGATATTCTAGCAGGTGACTTCCATACTAGTACCAAGGTATCAAAAACAAGACGATTGCTCTGCAGCCAGCCCGGTATCAATTTGACCAGCATTTTAATAAGTGCAAGACCTTGAAAATAAGCATCTGAAGTTGCACCAGGGGGAACAGATGGTATATTGGCACTACCGGCCAGAGGGGCACCAAGGCTTTCATCACCCAACAAAGCAGAAGGTGGAGTTGAAGCACCAGGAGTCATCTCCACGTCTGAATTTGGCAGAAATTCAGGAAAGGCACTTGCAAGTATCTTCTGTGGTGACTTAGCCAGTTCATCTCTCAATGGTTGACCGGCATCTGATCTTATAATGTACATGAACCTGGATTTCACAAAAGAGCAAGGAAAGGCAAGAACACCAACAATGTCATTTCCAGTAACATAATTTAGAAATTAACTCCAGTATTTTAAACTTACCGCCTGAAGTATTTTGGATCACTTAATCGAGCAAGAAAATAATCAACAGCAAGTGCTGCATATCGATTTAAAAATTTTGTAAGAGGTAGGCGATATGGACTGTTAATTTCACTGTATACTTGTCCAGGAGGAAGTGCCCCTTCCAAATCAATAGTCAAGGTCACAAGTTCATCAAGAAACTTTGATGCAGCATGGGGAAGTAAGTGGAATAGCTCAATGATAGCTGCACAGAACCAATAAAAGATATAACAATAGGAATGTATGTACATGTATTTAACAAAGGTGCATAAAAATGATCCCACATGTACATTTCTAGGTATGCTTCTATGCGGACATACACTATCTACACCGCTTGCTAGGCAAAACAAAGTATCTTCATGTCCACTGGAGCGGATAGCCTAGATGCTTACCAGCCATACATATATTTAACAAAGGTGCATGCACGCATGATGACACATTTTCATTTCTACATATGCATCTATGCAAGCATACACTATCTATGCTGCTAGAAAAGAAAACAAACTATCTGCGTCCACTAAATTGGATGACCTATAGGCTTACCTGCTGCAATTTTTGGCTCTTCGCCAGCCTTCCATGCCTTCTGACTCTGGGCAAGCTTTTCAGGTTCCAACCATTTCTTAAGGTGCTCCAACAGCTTACCACCCAAGGTAACATTAAACCAATTAGACAAAAGTTCAAGCAGGCGGGCCAGACCTTGCAGAAGAGGCATGCTAAGATTCTTGGTGTGTGCCAAGTTAACTAGAATAGGCCTGAGGCTGCTCTGCAGAAGTTCTTTGGGCATTCTTTGCTGATTAATAACCTAACCAAAAAAGTCGAGACAAGTAAGCAAAGTAATTTCTTTTGTATTCTAAATAAAAGCAAGATCAAAAGTAAAAGCATTCAACGACCAGAATGAGAAAGCGAAGAATATGACATGTTAAGTTGATTAGAAAAAAAATAATAATAAGTGTTTTTTATTGGAAGACAAATGAAAACTGAATAAAACAGATAGCTCATAATGGATGTATGTGATGAGCTCCTTTATTAATTTAATTGCCATTTGTGATGTGATATGTGCTTCTCTTCCTCCTGATTTAATGTTTCCATTTTTAAAAAAAAAGAAAAGAAAAACTACACTTAATGCATTATGCTAGTTCTTGAACAAACAAATGTTATGGACTCACTCAAATATACACATCAGCTGAGATGGTATGCCACAGAATCACCATATGAAGGTCTTTGCTCCTTACAAAACTGCTGCTAAACCTACTGATGCAGGACAGCTTAGGGAGCTGCACTGGATCCGAGTTTCAAGGCTGTTTAGGGCTGTTTAGGTCTGTATTGATGTGGATTTCCACTGGGAATTATAGAACTATTACGGTCACATTAATAGGGTTTCTGGGAGTCACACCTAGAGGATAGAAAAACCTAAGCTTCATGCCTAGGATTCTTAGGAGTCACACAATCAAAAGCAAATTGTTAGAACTTTTATTCATAAACTATGGTATTTTTTAAATATTGAAAGACTACATGCTTCTTTATAGAGTTCTAGTGGTCCAAATCCAATAAGGACTTAGATTCCTAAATAAGAAAATACTAGGTCTATATAGAATAGGAAAAACTTAATAAAGCTAATTACTCATTAGGATTAATAAAATACTAAACAGAAGATAAAACCTAGACTAAGACAAATTTCCAGATTTTCTAGAAAATACAGAAATATTCTTCTCTATAAAAAGATACAAGCTTTGCTTCCTTTGTTGTCCGCATCATTCTCCCCTTTTGGAGAAAACTCAACCTCAAGTTTTGAAGCGTCGAAGTAGTAAAAACCACATAACTTGCAATGACAACCTCGCCTCGATGTAGCACCCATGAAATAGGAACCAAAAATTCTTCTTTGTTGGTGATAGTAACGATGACGTGAGATTTTTCTTACCAGTTTAACCATCAAAATCAGGAATAATGAAGTCCACTTGTTTTGTCAATACCACTTTCTCCTTGCTATCTTTACTTTCATTAACATTGTGCTCAATGTGTTTCTTCTTTAGTTCAACTCCATCAAGGGTAAAACATAGCTCTTTAGGGTTTGTAATAACCTGATTAGAAAATTCCTTTTCTTCTCTTTCGCTCTCCACAGTATTGTCAATCTGAAATTCCCTCGTTTCTTGTTTAATCTTCCTTTTGGAAAGCAATTCCAGATTTTTCTGGTCAACAAAAATAAGTTGTGCTATGAGAGGTTTGGTGGCTGTTTCTACAGAATAATTGCTCAGGATAGCCTTTGTCAGCCTATCTGATGCTGCTTGCACCTTATCGAACCTGGCAGGAATAGATGTTTCCATTGAATTCAACCTGGGTTCTGTAGAATGCATTCTTGTTCCTAAATCTTGCTTGAAGGTTTTGAATTTTGAATTCAATTCAGTGACGGTTATCATCGTTAAAGTAGAATGCAACAAAAAGCTTTTAGGATCTTAAAGCTCTCATACCAACTGATGCAGGACAGCTTAGGGGGCTGTTCTGAATCTGAGTTTCAAGACTGTTTTGGGCTGTTTAGGTCTGTATTGATGTGGATTTCTGCTGGGAATTATAGAACTATTACAGTCACACTAATAGAGTTTCTAGGAGTCACACCTAGAGGATAGAACAACCTAAGCTTCACACCTAGGGTTCTTAGGAGTCACACCTAAGGTAGATTGAGCCACACAATCAAAAGCAAATATTTAGAATTTTTATTCATAAACTGTCGTATTTTTTAAATATTGAAAGACTACATGCTTATGTCTAGAGTTCTAGTAGCCCAAATCCAATAAGGACTTAGTTTCCTAAATAAGAAAATACTAGGTCTATATAGAATGGGAAAAACTTAATAAAGCTAATTACGCCATAGCACTAATAAAATATTAAATTGAAAATAAAACCTTGACTTAGACAAATTTTCAAATTTCCAGAAATTACAGAAATATCCTTGTCTACAAAAAGATACAAGCTTTGCTTCCTCTGTTATCCGCATCACCTACATTATCTACAACAGTGAAGCTAAGAGGAAAGGGAGATAAATAACTACATGGAACTAGCCCGAGTGAGAAAAGCAAAATAATACCTGGCGTAAACCCTCCTTGGCAACAGCAACAATTTCTGGTGTCCGACAAGTCAAAGACTTGAAGAACATGGAAATGATCTTTGCACGCAATTCAGAATGATTTTGAGTCTTGAAATCAGCCCATGCCATAGCAGTACAGAGTAGCTCAATGCAAGCTGTTCGAAGCTTATTTAATGACAAGGCATACTTGGGGTTCATAAACTTAACAGCCCATGCATTTTCATCAGCCTCTGCTATTTGCAATGCTTCTTGCAGAAAGTTAACCAGCTCTTGAGTCAACTTGAGAAGAGGGGGCCTCAAGGCCAGGCAAAAATTCAGAGCAGTAACTATCCCAACCTATAAGTACTAAATCAAGTTAGCAAAGAAAATTGATAAATTACTTTAGTTGTAGGCAGCAGCAAAGCATACCTGTTGATCAACAGTCTTTGACCTGAGTGGCCGTGTGATAAGAGGCTGAAGCAAGGGCTGGTACAAAGGCTCAAGCAATTCCGATACCTCACTGCCAGTCCTACTAGCCAACAGTGCTAAACATGATTGCACATTCTTTCTTACAATAATAGATGCATTGGGATTGAACAATTCTGAAGCGAGAAAATCAACTACCCCTTGAAAACTTTTTCTGCGAGGTTCACTGTTTGCTTCATCTACATTATTCACCACACGGAGAACCTGTGTAAGCACTTGACTAGTCTCTTCCTGCTCTTTGCTTGCATAAGGAGGAAGTCTTTTAAGTACATAGACCAGACCCCGCACAATTCTTACTTGGAAGTGGCACAAAGTCTCGACAGTGACCTTCCCCACCAGAGCTCCAAGTCCCATAACACCTCCCATCTGTGCTTGCCATGTAGTTCCATAGCAACAATGCAAAAGACGTGGTAGAAGTTGCTCAAAAACTGGGATGCGAACACTTGGGGGTGGGGAATATACAGGATTCATTGATGGACTGGACACGATCATAGGTGTACCAGGGCCTCCTCTTGACATCAGCACATCACCATGTTTTGAGCGAGCAAGGAAGAGAAGTGTTTCAGCAAAAACATTCAAAGCACCTAGAGCAGCTTTGGCATGGACCCTATTTTCATCAGCTAGCACATCAACCAAAGCATCCAAGAATATTAAAGGATCCAACTCTTTCAGATTAGTGCTAGTCTTTGACCTGGAACTGACACTAGCAATTGATGAAACCATAGGCCCACCAAGAGCAGCAGTTGGAATGGAAGGGTTATTAGAGGTATAATCTATATGAAATATCATAGCAAAATGACGGCAAACATTGACAAGAAAATCATCTTTGGGATCATGCAGATCTGGTTCAGCACTGGAAGCAATTATGGTCATCAACAGAATCTTGAAAACTGACTTCTCAGCCATAAGCTGGGTTTTTGTCTTCACGCCTAGATCAGCCTGAAATAACACACGAAATATGTCACAATGCAATGCTATACACAACAGATATCATAACAACATGAATTAGTACTTTCTGTTCAATTAGAAAAAAGAAAATCCAAATATAATCATCCGGAAAATTAATAGAATAAAGGGGGATAACACTTATAAACATATCTTTATATTCTAGGAAGTATGAGAGAGAGAGAGCAGGCCCCAAAGCCCTAAGACTCTCTCTCTCTCTCTCTCTCTCTCTCTCTCTCTCTCTCTCTCTCTCTCTCTCTCTCTCTCTCTCTCTCTCTCTCTCTCTCTCTCTCTCTCTCTCTCTCTCTCTCTCTCTCTCTCTCTCTCTCTCTCTCTCTCTCTCTCTCTCTCTCTCTCTCTCTCTCTCTCTCTCTCTCTCTCTCTCTCTCTCTCTCTCTCTCTCATGATATATATTATTTATTAGAGAAATATATTATATGCTTACTATAATATATTTTGAGTACAATATTAATGTAGTAATTATATATATCAATAATTTCATAAATATTTTTATATTATTAAACCAGTTGCAAGCTTTAAGTAATATATTAAAATGAGCTAAAATTTAGTAGGAATAAAGCGCTAAATTAGCCAAAACTGAGCACATGTGAGATTGAAATGTTAAAAGAACAATCTGATCTAAAATTGAGGAAGAGAGGAGATTTTGTCCTTATCTCTTGTTGTGGTGTTTGGAAGAAGGGATATTTTTTGGAACTTTTCACATGCATCATGAAGCATCCTAGAAAATTTAGAAGGGATATTTTTTGGAACTTTTCACATGCATCATGAAGTATCCTGGAAAATTTAAACTGAACTTTCTAAAGGGAAACAAGAATAAGAAAATAGTGAAGATAATGACCGCAATAAAGGTTGGTAGCTGAATATTTAACGTGGAGCAGAAATTTCCAATATGCTGAATATACTTATTTGAATTACAGACATTACATAAAAATGGTGCCTGAAAATAAAGCAACTTAATGTACAGGACACTCATGGCTAATCTACTCGAGTAATAGATCAGGCACTATGAAGCACGGTCGGAAAAAGAAGTTAGAAATAAAGAGCAGAGGAATAAGATAAAATTCCAACTCTTATATTCTTGAGAGATTCAGAAAATGAAAGGAGACTAGCACTTCATTTCAATTCCTTCGAGTACAAGTATATTGGTGTCTAAGAATGGAATAACAAATAGTTTGACTTAAGCAACTATCATTAGAAAGAAACAAATGTACAAGATGGTTTTGGAGACTCTGTCATCCTTTAAAAAAAATAGAAATAGAAATAGAAAAAAGGTCAACATCAAAATAAGAGTACACTTGGACCCCCGTGAATATTAGCTAGGGAAGTGCCTCAGTAAGGGCCTGCAAACCAAGAAGCAAGAAACACATTCCCATGCCACAGCAGATCCGAAGTCAGCATTCAAGAGATGATAAGATCCAAAAAACACTTAATTTTCCTTTTAAAAGGATGGGTGCAACACGAAAACTTCCTATGAGGTCACCCATCCAAGCACTACTCGTATCCAGGAACAGTTGACTTCAGAGCTCTGGTGAGCCGGGTGCAATATGCTACTTGATTGCACCCGCATCCAAAAGTAAATTCAATTCAAATGTACATGACATCATTATTGTGGGAAAACTTGAATTGCTAATCGTGGAAGAGAAAGTGCTAAACAGTCGAGAATTCAGTAACATTTCAATCAATATGTTTCAACTAACCTTTATATCTGATGTCTCAGACCTACGCCAGGATGAATCAGCTGCAGAAACTAACAAGCTTGACAACTGACTGGCTGTATATCCCTCATCAGAAACATTACCGGGCAAATTAAGCTGAGATGACAAGCAAACACGGAGGAACTTCAAAGCCTGTTTTCGGTAGAAAGCATCCATGCCACTGTTTTTGTTTATGATAGCTGCTACAGCAAGATTTATGCATCTATCCAAAGGCACCAAAAATGGAGTTGAGGGCTCAAATGTAAGTATAAGACGAAGCCCATGCTCTGGGTTATCCTTGCACTCAAGTGCAAGGGGCTCTTTAAGAAAACGTCTGTTGCGGCCACCTAACTTGCCAAGGAGTTGCAAAGCTTTTCCACCCCAGGGATAAGGTGCAGGCCTCAAGTGAGACCATAAGGACAAAATCACCTCTGACATGACATTAGCCATACTAGGTTCCAGGAAATCAGGATTCAAACTATCAACCCAAAATTCGAGTGTTCTTAAACCTAAACTCACTAGGTCATCACTTCCCTTCAGACACAAAACAAGAGGTCTCATAAGACGTGGAAGGTGTGGCAGCAATGAGCTTAAGCGTGCAGGCAATGTTAAGCATAGTTCAAGTAAAAGGTCCCTCATATCTTCACCAGTTGGACCCTCGAGCATTGTTAATAACATATTCAGGCAGGGCTGCAACATTGGAATCAAGTCCCGCAGAAGAAGCTCAAATTTACATCCAGCGAGAGCCTTAAACATAGTTCGAAGAAGCTGCATGTAACCAAGAGGTTTTTCAACTTCTGTAGCATTCTTCATGCAAACTTCCATTATAACAAGGACATGAGGCTGCAAAATACGTTCAAAATCTGCAGGTGCTTTAGCAACAGCACCAAATATAAACCGAAAGAGATGCAAAACCAGTTTAGCTGAAGGTGAATCTGGGTTCTTCAAAACATCAAGTTTGCTGCTTACAAGAAAGTTAACCAAGACATCTGCAAACGGCCGATATACTTTCGAAGATTGCAAGAGTGAAGAAAATATGTGAACCAGTTGAGTATTGCTAATCATGCATTCAAAAAGTTCAGGCATACACAATGAGAACATGTCCATAAGATCTCGGGGTTCCACAACAGACAGTATCTGGGAAAAGAGGTTAAGCATGTCCCTCTCCTCATCCTTCTCCTTAAAAAGGGCTAAACAATGCACCCCACTCTTCAAGACACCTGAGGCTTTCCACACCTGGCCAAAATCAAAGTCAGACCAAGCCAATCATGGTACAAGCAAACAGAAGAAGCCAATCATGGTACAAGCAAACAGAAGACACCTCACATAATACCTCATCTTCTCTCATCCCTTTGAATGCTTGAGTAGCTGGTAAGTTAGATGATGGTGAAACAAGCACTTGAGAGTGTGTTCCGTGTGTGGAAGGAGAGACCTGAACCAATGGAATTAAGCTATGAAAAAGAAGAACAATGTAACATGTAAAAAACTGTTAAATGAAAGGCTATTTTTGAATGAGGTTAAATTTTGAGACAGAAACCTGTGATCGTGGCAAATGTGCATGAGTGATGCTCCATATAATAGTCTTCATTCCTGAAAACACAACCACAGAAAGATTCTTAAGTTCTCTGAAAAGGTGCTTCAAACTCTATAGGTTATCATTATAAAACAATGAAAGACAATAAGGATGGTATTGTAAGATGATCTATTATTACCCATAACTAAGGTCTTGATCAGATTCTTACAATCACTGACTTCCTTGGAATGTTCCACCGGAACTTGCAAATTCAAAACTGCCTGCAACCAACTACATGTCAAGAATTGAAGGAAAACTAAACCCAAAACAATGTATCTAATGGATTTGAAAGAAAATTTATCATCCACATGTAATCATCCAATCAAAACAAATGACACTCTTGTAAACCGTCAATGACAGTGCCTCACTGAAACATTCAAATGTTTCCAAATAATTCCCAGTAATAAGGATATTTATGCACAGGTATTGAAAGAACTCTAACAATACTGGAGAAATCACTCAACGTTTTCACAATATGCAAAGTTTTTTCATATATAAAATAAATAGATTGCAGATAAACTACAGGCATTTTGTTTCAAGGATCAACTAAAAGCTTTCTATTTATTGGTTTACAGTAAATTTACATGACATACTTCTGGGCTCTAGCAGTTTGTTTTTTCCCAGAAACAATTAACTTCATCACAGTTAGGCTCTAGCAGTTTGCTTTACCCGAAAACAACTAACTTCATCACAGCTAGAGTTCCATGTCTTAAACCATGCACAAATAAACAGTTTGAAGACTGAGTACCCTCTGTACATTGCCAGAATTTTCATTGTATCTATTTCTAGACTCCAGCTTTGGGGTTGGGGAAAGCAAACCACAGGTGATATTTCAAATGCTTCACTGGAGCTTTTTTATCACAGGAATCAACAAAAAGGCTACGATACACATGCAACAAATAATCAAGTCGTAACAACATACAGCTGACAAATACAGCAAATACTAAATAGTTATAACCAATAGCAACATGCAGCAGTCGTTTATCAATAGTGAAACAGAGTAAGTGCAGCATTCTAGGAAGGCTTATCGCTGTAATAATCATATCTACAGAGTAAATTTGAAATTAGAGAATGTGTTAACAGATTACACTCTTCTAAAAAAGGAAACAAGATGCACAAAGAACAAAAACTAAAATTCAAACTGGTGGCTCAAGCAACATCAATCAATGATTAAAAACACACAGAAAGTCCCAGAGCAACCTGCACAGGGAGTTCAAGCTTTGACCTCAACGTAGCACGCTCCTTTCCCTCCTCACCCTCCTCCAACAGCTATCAACCAAAAAGGAAGTAAATTAATGTTCACATGCAAACAAGACAATGGGTAGTCAAGAATAAAAATTAGCAAGCAAAGAAGACAGGCTTCAAACAAATGAAAAGAAAATTAACCAAAGGTAGCTATCAAGAAAGAAACATAGAAATGATACAGATATCAGAGACAGTAGGCTCAATAAATATCGAACCTTGAATAAGAAGCATATGAATGCAAGCCAATAAATTAACTCAATGCAAAAGGTCTGGAAAAATCTTATTATATTTCAATTTGTTTTCTATTTTAAAATAAAATATCAATGGAATTGCCTTAGGACCAAGGATAAGAAGTAATGGATATAGCAAAAACTGCAGCAGGAACACTTGTGAGCGAAAACTCTGTAACAAAATACTTTAGATAGATACCTACAAATGTAACATCAACATATTTCAAAGAAAAGGAAATTATGTTTGTGTGTCTACATTTTTAGACATGTGGACCATGTCTGATTACATGTTCCTTCTACTTCAAAATGTTAATCAGAGCAATCGCGAAAGATGAAACTTATGAAGGAACCATCCTGTAACTCAGATCAAACAAAGACATGAACCTGTAAATTCCTATCACTAACACACAGTTCCAAGGTCATGAAGTACTTTATATGCCAAGACAGTGAATTGGCTCCGAAAACTAATTTAACACCAGCTCCTCAACTGAAATATGAAAAGTAAATGATATCCACAAACTCTCAGAGCAGAAACTAGGAAATGAGGCCCCAAAACGAATTGCATGTTAACGAAAAAACCGGAAAAAGTAAGCAAATAGCAGTGAATGGTATCTAAATATACTCAAAGTGTCAACTTGACGCATATCCTAACACCAATTGCTGCACAAGTGAAAAAAAAATGCATGCCCTAAGCCTCACAGTCAAGTAATTGACCATAAGTGAGCCTCATAAAGATACCTCCCAATAAACAAACCATTCACTGTTGCAGCAACACACCTAAGGTTTGCCCCAACACAATACCACGTGGAAAGGGGATCACCAAGCAAAGATTACCTGCGGAATTGTGCGCTTGAAAGTGCTAAATTTGCCAACAAAAGCATCCAAAATACGCCCCTGTAGGACAAGATAAATTATTCCCAAATGTAATGAGAAAATCCAAATAAAAAATCTTCACAAGAATACTTAAATTGACGTCCATACCAGTAAAATCCGAGCTTCATCCATGGTTGATTGGTCCAATCCTTTATCAAAAATTGGCTCTACCTAAAACCAACAAAAACAATATAACAGCATAAAAAATGGATTGTGGAACAAATCTCACTTATGCACCTAATTTGGCAGCTAAAGCCTAAGGACTGGAGCAAGAATACGCACCAAATTCAACATTAACCGGGCACAGGTGGTATGGATGCTGAGCGACAATGAAGCATCATGCATGTTACTTGAGAACAGGTAAATAATCTGTGACAACTGCAGTAGAATAAGAAAAGAAAGTTAGAAGACAGATTTCCAATGAGAAGAACCAAAGAAATCTCATAGGTAAAATATATTTGAACCAACAGATATAACCTTTTATCCCTTTTTATGTTAATAAACTGGCAACAAATCACTCAGAATAGTAAATCCTGACCAGTAAGAGTCTAGTACAGTGCATGACACATAGGAGATAAAGCAAGAAATGAAAGAATGATTGAGAAATTTGAAATCAGAAAGTAAAATTTGACATCAGATATCCCATAAAAAGCAGCACCTGCGATAAGGAAAGGTCACTCCGGACATGATGGACAATCTCAGCTAGTAGGCTATAGGCCAATGGCCTCAGAGTTTCATAGCATGCTCGACCGGTTCCAACTAGAACCCTGGAATGAACAGGAATGAATGTTAAACAGGAAATGTACAGTGCCACAACCAGCATTGATGAACTTCTTAAAATCGAAGAGCCAAATATACACAAACCATCTGAAAGTGATCAGAGTCAATGTATCTACTCATCAAAAGGAAAATTCTAAGAAATTTTCAATGCAAACTAATAAAATAAGCAAAAATAACATATGGACAAAGAAAATTGGCTCTGTTTTATAGAAATAATTGCACAAAATACATTCAGAAGAAATATGATGGGCCCCTTTATTGCTGTTAAGCCACCAACCACATGATGCTTCCTTGAATAAGCTCCGATTCAAAGGAATTTCAATCTTTTGTCAGCAGTTTATACAGAACCTCTATCAAATTATTATTTCCAGGTGTGGGTATAGGTTGCTAATTGAAATGTTCATGTTCAATTTTCTCTTACTCTGATATCTTTTTTTCATTGAATTCTTTACCACTCGGTCATTACTTCTCTTAGTACCTCTAAGCTCACACAAAAAATATACTAAGTCCTATTTCAAGTGTTACCATAGGCCCCAAAAATTTAATAATTCAACATTTTTAGCATCTCCTGCGAGTTTGTGATTATCGAAGCTCATTGAAATGCATGCCCCTTAATAAGATTAAAGATTTTACCTCTCTTCTAAAAGTGTGTCGATTAAAGGAAATAAACCCCTCTTGAAATCTGTTCCCAGAACATGCTTCAAGGCAACTAGCAGTTCCTGCACCCGATGTGCTCAGATATCAGTTTTTGACAATACAAGAGATCAACATTGGCAATGAGAAGATCATATCAAAAAGCAGGGATCATTAACCTTTCTTATGGACACAGAGTCCGAGCATGTAACAAGCAAATTCACAATGCTTTTACATATGCTTTCTTCATGTGGTCTAATATAGTCAGCGAAACTCTTTAACAGGTACGTTAAGAAGGAAACTGTCTGCAAAATGCAAAATAGTGATAATTAGTGGAAATTTTATGATACAAACAAATTGAAGTGCATACACAGTTCTGCAAGTTTGATTACAAGTACCGATTTCTGGCAAAGCTTTATTTGTTATTTCCACTAATTATGTAATTCTCTCCAAGCTTTTTGAGGAAAAAAAAGTTCTGAAATTGCAGAGTAGCTCTGAGTACAAGAAAGGATGTCACGTCTAGCTCAACAATCAACTGTCATCAATTTGTTACCGGAGGCACATAAGAGTTTTTGTGAATATATTTGAAGGTTTTTACTGTGTGCAACTAAAGAGTTGCGTGACATTTTATAAGCTCTAGCACTAAAGAGGTCATAAGTTGGATCCTTACACCCAGAACCCCATTGTGCCTTCATATCCTCAAATACAAATCTACAAGCAAAACTCGAAACTCCTTCAAGTGGTTTCACAAGCCCACAACAAAAAGATTTTAACTTATTTGCAGGAACTTCAACAACATGATTGTTTCTGCAGTCATGCTAGATTGCAGAATCCTAAAAAGTGAATATCTTCCTAGAACACCATGAATCCTAAAAAGTGAATAAGTTAAAATCTTTTTGTTGTGGCCTTTATTTGTTATTTCCACTAATTATGTAATTCGCTCCAAGCTTTTTGAGGAAAAAAAAATGCTGAAATTGCAGAGTAGCTCTGAGTACAAGAAAGGATGTCACGTCTAGCTCAACAATCAACTTTCATCCATTTTTTACCAGAGGCACATAAGAGTTTTTGTGAATAAGGTTTTTACTGTGTTCAACTAAAGAGGTGCGTGACATTTTATAAGCTCTAGCACTAAAGAGGTCACAAGTTGGATCCTTACAACCAGAACCCCACTGTGCCTTCATATCCTCAAATACAAATCTAAAAGCAAAACTCGAAACTCCTTCAAGTGGTTTCACAAGCCCACAACAAAAAGATTTTAACTTATTTGCAGGAACTTCAACAACAACATTGTTTCTGCAGTCATGCTAGATTGCAGAATCCTAAAAAGCGAATATCTTTCTAGAACACCATGAATCCAGGGCACGTGAGAACTAAGGTTCCTTTCAACTCTTTGATTGAGAAACCCTGCAGCTCATATAAAAACATGAGCAAAACGTTTTTAACAGGCATTTTAATGACAAAAAAACTCCCTCTACGGAAAAAAATGGTTTTCTCCCCTTCAGAATCAGTCTAAACATACTAGCAAACTCAGTACTGCCATGTGGCATCTACAACATCAACATGAAACAAGCTTTATTGCTTGCAGGGATAAACATTGGAGGGATATCATGAGAAAACAAAACATACCTTAACCTGTGCACCCTTCAGCTCAATGAAGTTAGTTTTCAAATGGGGAGGAACCTTGTCAGGGCCTGGGACAGATATTGCAGCAACCATCAAAGGCAACAAGTGAGGAATATTAGTTTGTACAAGTCGGCTATACAATTGGAACAGAAACATAACCACAAGTGGACTCTCGGTAACTATCTTAAATGAACGAGTACTAGGATTAAGCAGGCCATTCCCAACATGTCCAGTACTCAAAAGCCCTTGATCTGAAGAAGTAGAAATTTCCATTGGCTTCACGTCCTCTACAGCCACACTTGTGTTATCAAAGAAATGGCTAACAGTCAATCTAAAATTCTGGTAGATCTTACATACAAAATCTAAAAACGGCTGAACCTCATTTTCTAATGTTGGCCTAAAATTCCTAAGAAGATCAAAAATAATACGAATGCATATCAACCCATTTTCTTCATTATCTGTAGTAAGCACTTGCATTGCAACTTTCAAAAGATCCTGAACAAATGGCCGAAGAACCTCACTATGCGGTAAACGATTCAGAATCTCCACAACAATGTTACGTAACTTATGCTCAGGATTGTCTACAAACTGCGGTTTTGTAATTTGTAACAGTATAACCGAAAACGCCCTGAAGTAACATTTAAGGAAATTCAAATACTCCGCAGTATGTGCAATCTCGAGACTATCCCGCACCTCCATTGCCATCTGTAGCCTCGTTTGAATCTCTGTTCAAATATTATAAACAGAATATAATTATGAAAACGGAAAAAAAGGACTTAGATTTCTAAAACTCTATCAACTTCACCTAATAAAACTATCATTTCTTTTATATTACTTCAAATTCCACAATAAACAACAAAAAAATCACAAACTACACTTATTTGTTTCTTTTCCTTCATTTTCTCAGCGAACAAACAGTAAGATAAATAAACAAATAAAAAACATTGAGACAAATAGAAGAGTTACGGAGGTCAGGCTCCACGAGATGGCGAGAATGCTGCTCGAAATTCTGAATCGGACTCATGGCGTCAAAAACCCTAAAAGTTTTGCTCTGAATTTAGTTTCTAGGGTTTTTCTAGGGTTTCATGGCGGTGAACTTCTGCTTCTCTCTCAGTTCGGTTCTGGTAAAAAAAAAATCTGGTTTTCCAAAGAGAGAAAGAGTAATTTTGGGTTTCTAGGGTTTTAGATTGAGAGTGAAAATTTGGGGATTAAATGGTTCTGAAAGCTTTATGTAAGGGGAAGTACAGTACTGCCATACATACTCTCAGAGAAAGAGACGACTTCTGACTATAAATAACTTTCCCCTCCTGTGTTTTATTTTGCTGTCCCTCGGGTCCGTACCACTCGAAATTTTGAGGGGAAAAAAAATCTTTTCTTTTTCTTTGCTGTTTCATCTATTTTTACATTACTTTATTTTATGGTAGATTTGGGGTGATTCTAATTTCTTTCCCCAAAGTTTCAATATTAGATTAATTAACATTTTTTTTCAGCCTTTAAACTTTTGAAGTTTGATTAAATAGAACTTTCTACAGATAATTTCACGAGATAAAATCTTTTAAGTTCAATTAAAATATCCAAATACATATATAATTTATATTGTTCAAACAATAGTAAAATATATGTCAACCTATAGGTCCTTATGCGTTAAGAAAGCATCATCTAAACTCACGTAGGGTACCCATCAATTTAATACCAAAGGTTTTATTTTTAGTCCTTGTGATTGTTAAAAAAGGTTAATTTGGTTCTGCAAACTTAATTTTTTTACAATTTAGTTCTTTGTTTATAAGTTTTTTGCCCTCAAAGTTTTTTAAAAAAACATTTTGCTCCATAAATTTTATAGTTTTTGTAATCAAATCCTCGAGGTCAATTTTTACAAAGTATCTTATATTTTTAAATATAAATGATACCATTTGGACCTTTTAATTGGAGTAGAAGATTTGATCTCATCAAATTATTTTAATAGGATTCTATTTGATCAAATTTTAGATGTCTAGGGACTGAAAAATCATTTTTATATTGGATTGGGTAACTTAAAGAAGAACATTGGTGTGTGATCAAAATCTCAGGGACGTTGATACATAATTGAAATTTCAGAAGAGACAGTGGTATAATCAAAACCTCAAGAATGAAATTGGATTCTATCCAAGTCTTAGGGAGTAAATTAATATTAGGATAAATATACTCATCTATTCTTATATAATACTCAAAGTTTTTTATCTATTCCTAAATTTTGAATTGCATCTTATTTGTCTCTAAAATTTTTTTGACCAAAATGTTATTTACTAAAATACAAAAAAATAAATAAAAATACTTAAAATCACATGACCTACTTATTCTATTTTTTCGAGTCTTTAGAATTTTTATTTATTTATTATTTATTTTGCATTTCAATTAGGATTATTTCAATCAAAAAATTCATTTGAACATAAAAAGTGATTGAAAAGACAGAGTTAAATATTTCAAACACTTTTTATGACAAATAAAATACAATTAGAAACATAGAGATATATGATAGATTTTCGGTATTACATAACGATAAATGGGTATAGTTATCCTTAAAATTAAATAATTTTTTTTATTTGTTTGCATAAATTGGTATAATGCAAATACTAGATAGACTACTTAGATTTGAATGAAATAGCAAAAAGGCATTGTTGTGATCAAAATTAATAATGCCGTTAATGTTGTCATTATAACAAATTAAGTTGATTACACTAATTTTAATTTCTCTTTATACAATTAACAATTATTTGAGTGCGTGATAGTGGATGAAATTTGAATGAGAATTCACATATTCGGTAGAAATATTGAATTAAATGGATAAAAATTCATTGTATTGAGTAAAAATATATTTTCTTAACTTTTTTCTATTGCAAATAAACCATGTTCAGCATTAAACCGTGTTGATACTCGTTACAAGCAAATAAATGACAAGAATATTTATTACGGTAGAGTTACAATAAATAAGAGTTAAACATTAATTTATTATTACTCGTACTTAAATATGTCAATGGCTTTAACGCCCCGCCCTAATCATATTTCTACTACCCAAGTAGGTATCTGGACGAAACGCGTTACGCCGACATACCCTAAACTCTAAGTAGTTTTCTTATGATATTCTTAGAACTTTAACAAGTACATTACGTATATAACTCCTTAAGATAAAATTAACATAACATAATTAAATACATTAATAAAACATTACGAGCAATATTCAATTTCTCACAAACTCTATATCCCAAATTTACAAACAAAATAAAAACTAATATATGGTGCCTCACATGAGTCGGTTAGGAGGAGCCACCGCATCCGTACCAACTTGTCCTTTTTCTCGTCAAGACATAAAAAAAATAACAACGAGGTGAGCCGAAGCTCGGCAAGCAAGGTGATGCACGTGATATGCAATGTTGTTTTGACTTCCCACCATACTCATAAATTTTAATATCGGGTACCCCGGGTATTAGCCGATCTACTATATTTATCATCCAGGTGGTCCGCAGATCACCTTATGCTACAACGAAATTACCCCTCGTTGTAACTACCGTTAGCGGGAATCCATCGTCTAACAGGTGCAAGCACACAACTTGGTTTCATCCAAACGATCCTTGGATCATCTTCTCGCTACAACAGAATTATCCCTCGTTGTAACCGCTATTAGCGGGAATCCATCGTTTAATAGTGCAAGCGCACAGCCTAGAGTACTCGGACTACTAATACCCATTTATTCTAGTTAGGTTATTAAATCTAGATGTATAAACCATTTCTCAATCAATTGACTTGTCTTAAACCACGCACTATGCACATGATGCACGTAATGATATATTTAATCATATTCAACCAAATTCGGGTACCAACCCTTCATTCTCATGCCATACTCACGGTCCAACCCACACTTGAAATTTACCCATTGCTCACATACCAATCATGATACCCATAACGGGGACACAACCTTCGCTCATTAATATTGTTCATTAGTTTCATTAATATTTAAAAGAAGTTCCAAGTCCATTTACTTTAATCCAAGCCCATTAACTTTATCCTAGGTCCATTGACTTTATTTAATTCCATTTTATTTAGTCTAAGCTCATTTAGTTTATTCCAAACATATTAATTTTGCCCAAGTCTATTTTTTTTTATTTTAGGGTTTATTACCGGGCAACTCATAATCGAGTAAATAATTTTTCAATTTTAGAACATAATTAAATCTTACTCATTTTATTTTAGATACTAGACATATTTATTTATAACATATCCAAAAATTAGGTCTAAATACCAAGTACACAATTAATTACAAATTTTTTGAAACTTAGAGAGCAATCTGCCTAGTAGTAGTTTGTCTAGAGCTATCCATACTAAATCAGGTATAACTCTTTATACACGAATTCAATGACCAAGAAATTTTAAAGGGAGTTAGTTGAAACATATATGAACAATTTTTATTCTTTAAGTTTTACCCAGAAATCGACCTAAAATCCTTGAACATGCACCCCAAAATTCGGACAGAATTTACTCCTTATCAACACTAATTTATTAGTTCATTCCAAGCCAACTTTAAACATGTTTTAGTTCACTTAAATTTAGTCCAAGTTCAATCCAACCCATCACCACATACTTGGACATTTTTCAAAAAATCATCACAACAAGGCATCCATAAATAGATTTATCCCAAGCATCAAGCATATAACCATTGAAAATTATTACAACCCATGAAATAAACACTAACAAAATAACTTTAAAAAAATAATTTAAGACATTAATCAGCCAAAAAAATGAAACCTACTTACCTCTTTTAGGCTTGATTAGAATTTTCTTAGCTCTTTTTCTTTCTTTTTTCCCTTTCTCTTTCTCTTTTTCTTTCTTTCTCTCTTTTTGTTGTTTTTCTCTCTTCAATTTGGCTTCTCTTTTTAATCCTGGATGACTATGGTTTTTGGCCTAAAAATGGCAGCCATTTAACCCTCTCTTTCCCTTATATACCCACCTTTTATCCTCTCATATATTTATATCATAAGTGTTAAAAATTTAACTAGGCCAAATGTAAAGTGGAGGAAGCTTGGAAGGCAAAGCTGGCATGTTTTGAAAGTCAAAGGTGATAATTTGGCTTCCAAGCATTTAATTCAAGTGCTTAGGTAGCTAAAGAAAACTTAGGCTAAATAAACACATTAATAAAGTGGGTTCATGTAATTAGACATAATTTCTTTCATAAAAAATTCTAAAATTTCCATTTTTAAAATTCGGAATTTCTTTTTTTCCAAAATTTCAGCGAGTGTTATCTCTTAACCCATCTATACTAAAATGTGCATAACTCTTTCTATATGTATCCAAAAATTATGAAATTTTATAGAGAGCTAGTACACACATTTAAAAACAACTTTTAGTCTTTAAGTTTTTCTCAAAAATTAATCTAACAGCATCAAATAAATCTCACAAGATTCGGACAGATTCTTCTCTCAAAATTCCAGCAGAATGCATTTCGAAACAACCCTCACTATAATTGGTATAACTCTTAATGTATAGGTCAAAATATTATAAAATTTTATATAGGCCTATTCAACATATAGATGAACAACTTTCGTTCTTTAAGGTTGACCCAAAAATTACCCTAAAGTCCTCAAATAATTCACACAAAACTCGGGCAGAATATAGTCCTTAAAACACCGATTTTGCATATTTGATTTCTTTAATAATTAAACCATTAATCTTAAGCACAATAAATTTAATTTAATATAAATCATATATTTCAAGCATTAATTTCTCATTGTGAAATGAGAATTATACTTACTCTTAATATACATATATATAGAATTATTCTAATACACGTCGCGTTACGGATAAGAGTTTTTACGAAGGTTACGATGGTCAAATTAAGGATAATGTTAATCCCACTTCGTATTTGTTATAAGTTCTATTATTTATTATAAGTTTTATTAGTAGACTACGTTACCTTCTATCTTTAGTATAATAGTATAAGAAGTCTCTTACTCTCACATAATTATTGTTTATTATAAGAAGTCTCTTACTCTCACATAATTATTGTTTATTGATATTAAATATTTTATAATTATTAAATTAAAAATTATTTCAAATAGTAAACAAGAACTATATAAAAGTTAATTTCGTAAATTTTTATTACTCTATCTATTATTGGTGAGTCCGATAAACTCAAATAGTAATAAGTGGTTACATGGCTCTTTATGGTCGATGATTAGTGATGGAGATTAATTAATGATTCATGTAAATCCTTCTTACTTAAACTACTTGCAAGAGAAGCCCTCCTAATAGATCTAGGGACCTTCGATGATTAAGTCAATGGTCGGAAAGACTGGGTGCTTGAATATGATTTATATGTATCTCTTTATGTGCAAGAGATAGTGAATAATGGTATAAAGCAAGAGAAGTGGGATTAGAAACCTAGAACATTACTAGTTAGAGTTTTTCGTAGGCAAGGTCGCTCGTTAAATTCATGGTAAAAAAGATAAAATGGTCTATTCCTTAATTATCAACGATATCTAAAGCCAACTTGGAGGACATGTGCCTATGATTAATAGTATATTTAAAGATTATCTCTAGTTCGATTGTCACTTTTGTAGCAATACATGCAAATCCCATCTCTTGATGTCCGGAGTACTAACCGATGTCTCTTCATCGAGTCTTAATGTCCTATGTTTATAAGTCTTTATATTTTGAGAGTCATTGTCGTTTGTAAAGACTTTTAATTCAATATTTATCAATTTCAACTTATGTTCAATCTTACAATCTACTATTCACACTCTTGATACTAATAGCAGTTAGTTTATATTTTGAATTGAGATATTGTTGTCGATTGTTTAATATTAGTTTTCGGTTATTGCACTCATCATACATTTGCATGCGAACCTTGCAACCTAGACTTTATAGGTAGTCCGGAACCCTTCCTAAGGGATTCTTAGGTCACTCGCATTTTAATGTAAGTAGTAATTTTAGTCGTCTAATTTAGATTTTGCAAGATAAACTACCTTCTAACCGTTTCATAGTCATTTTGTTTCAACGTCTTTTTTATTGAGATCGGCACAAAAAATCCACCACATATTGATATTTTTTTATAGTTTGATTGAGGCTTTCTATTCCTCAAATTTTGTTGCTTCGGATATTCTATTACAAAGCCATCAATCGATAATCGACACATGATATTGTAAAATAAAAAATCTTGACCACACGTGGATCATTAATTAGTAGCATTGTAACGAGAGGATCTAAAGCAATAAATTTTGAAAATAAAAAATTTTTAATCAAGTGAAAAAATATATGGATAAAAAATTTTGAAAAGGGAAATATCTAAATGTAGAAAAAATCCATTTGTATGGAAAACCTATGGTAGTAAAACATTTTGTTTGGTGCTAAAACTCATTATCAATAGTGATAGTATCTTATTAAAGGGATTCAACGCCTAATAATCTATATATTAAAATCAAAGGGAAAAAAAGAACAGAGAATGTAAATCAAAAGAGAAGATACTTCAATGTATCTTCTTACGGATTGGCCCAAAAACTAACATTTGTTTTCCATTTTTTTTTTTCTTTTTCAAACCAATACCTAATGATTTACCAAAAGTCAGAGGGGACTTAATCTTATACGAGGCTTGGCCATCGTTGCCCAAGTTTGAATGGTAACCTATTCATAAACCAAATCATTTTTCCTTTACTATAGTCCAAATATACTAATATGTCTTGATAAAAATTATTTCTATCCAATTTACCGACATAAGAGCCCTATGTGGACCCCTAATGGACCCATTCATCTCTTTGGACCAGTGGAAGTAAGGCCTAATCAAGTCAAGAGTGCTAAGCTATGGAACTAACGAATCAAGAATATGAAGATGATGGTCCAACCACCCTTGTCAACTTCAATTAACAAAATTACAGTGAAGTGGACGCGAAGAAACAAAAGCACAATAAAAGCCCCATGATTTTATTAACAACTTCCTTTTAAGTAAGCAAAAAATCACCAGCATCCCCATGATTAACAACAACCTCTTATAATAATCTTTGTCCTTCTAGCTACCTCCTTGTATTAATAGAAGCTAGCTAGAGCTCTTTGTCATCTCATGAATTCATTCATTTCTTGATTCTTGTATTTTTTTTTTCAACCTCAGATAGAGTGCTAAGCATGGATAGAGAAGAAGGTGGATCAACGGTGGTCGTCGATGGACGGGCAGAGATTGATACAAGAGCACCATTCAAGTCTGTTAAAGAAGCAGTAATGTTGTTTGGAGAAAGAGTTTTAGTTGGGGAAATCTATGCCAACAAGCTCAAAGAGGTTATCTCCTTCTCTTTTTCTCTCTATATATAGCATTTCTAGTAATTGCCATTGTTAGTCCTTGTTTAACGATTCTTTTTAGAAGGCTTATTTAATGGAATTCATAAAAGCCATGGACACAAATACATTTTTATAAGCATTTTATGTCGTTAAAATATAAAAAAATTGCCACTAGAAATTAAATAATTTTATTATAGTAGTGGAGTAGTTTTGGCCAATTAATGGTTTTTTTTTTTTTTTTTAAAGATGAGAACAAGAGCAAGTGAAAATGGACAGGCTCCCTCCAGAATTGGAGCCTTAACAGCTGAGCTTGAGGAAACAAAGCAGAGCCTCAAAAAAGCAAGAGAAGAAGGTAACTTGATGGCCTATCGTATAAAATCTCTTAGAGAAGAACTTGAAGAAACAAAGAAAGAGCTACAACGACTAAAGGCAAGGGAAAGAATGTATCAAAAACAACCAGTACTTGATGATCCTGAGATTGAAGACTTCAAGTTCATTGAAAATGCAACCAAAATGGAAACAATCAAGAACCAAAACGATAGCGAAGAACCTTTTGAGTTTCAAAACAAGAGATATGTGAAATTTGCTAGCCCTCCTTCATTGGCTAAGGTTATTATTTCCAAAGAGGAAATGCTAGAGAGACCTCATTCTTTTAAAAAGATGACCAAGAAAAGGTCTCTAATCCCTCTTCTGGGATGGTTATTTCCGAAAAGAAAGGAACCCAAGATGATGAGTCTCCCAGAGAATACTGAGAAGCTGCTCATAGATGGAAGCTTTCATTCCCATGAGGTGTCCATGAACGAAGCCTCCTTATAGTAATGATGGTGAGAAGAAAATAACCAGATATTATGGTCAGAAACTCTTTTAAATGTCCAAGTCTTCGGTATTCTGCATGTGTTCATTTTTTTTTTTTTAATACAAAAATCAGCACAATTTTGTAAGGTTTGTAATTTTTTTTTTTAATGTAAAGTTGTGAGATGGGTTTGGGCCTACTTCGAGAAGTTTTAAGATCGTGTTACTTTCCAAATTTCTATCTCATGTGTTGGGCTGAGAGTTCAAGGCTCCGACTCAAATGCTTCCCTAAATTCCTAATCCTTGGCCTGTTTCTCGAGGGAGAAAAAAACGAAAGAAAAGAAAAAAGAAAACTTCCGCCTCATTTCTTCTTCTCTTCTTCTTCTTTTTTCCTCAGCACTTTGAAATACGAGGAGCATGCCAATATGATGGGAATGAACATCCATTTTAGACATAATTTTGGCCGACCTTGACCAGCTAAGGTACTGAATTGATTGTTCTGGCATTAGTTTAGGCATTCTCAATTTGACTTATATCCTACAGGCTCTTTAGAGCTTAAGGTTAAAATTCTAATTTTAAGATACTAGTTGAAACTAACGAAATATAGAATAAATAAAATTCATAGAACGATGGAAAAAAATATTTTTAAAAGTAATTTATGATGAAAACTAGGGGTGAGCATTGTTTGGTTTAAACCAAAAAATTAAATCGAACCGAACCGAAACATCAATTTCGGTTCGGTTTTTAACTCATTTTTTTTTTAAATCAATTTTTATTTTTATTTTTCAGTTTGGTTTAGGTTTTGGAATTTTTGGTTTTGTTTAAACCAAAAATCCATTTTTTTAATTTTAACATAATAAATAAAAACATCGATACTTTAACATTATTATAAATACGTGATGAATTGATTGTGTTTTTGATCTATTTATATTATTTTTTAAAAATCAGTTTAAACTGAAAAAAATTGAAATTTTGATTTATAAACCAGAAAACTAAATAATAATTTGATTCGAATTTAATTTTTATTTTTGTAATTTTAATTAATCAAAAACTAAATTAAAATTATTAAACATCGAACCAAAAGAATGGTCGCACCTAATAAAAACATCATTGTATGTTATCTATTTTTTTCATGGTATGGAAAGAGGCTGAAGGGCCAACAATATAAAACTAAGCAATAACCTAGGTGATGATAGCTATAGAATCCACCCAAAGAAAAGGATCCCTGGGTCCAAGGATCTTTAACCCATTAATTCCCTATCCATTTCTGCCCCCATTTTTTTTCATTTTCGTAATTTACTCAATCAACATTTCAATGCACTAAAAAAATGATAAAAAAATTGAAATCCCACAATATGAGGTAGACTACAAATCGACACTTTGTCACATATCAAATGGTTGAAGGAGCCAAAACAAATAAGCCTCCATCACGGTTGCAATTTTAGCAAGCAAACAAACGGACAGCAAATCCAAATCAAAAGCATGGAGGAAAATCTTTTCCCACGTAATGATTATTAATAACCTCCATCTTTCACATACTTGTTTGTTCAAAAAATAATATTATTATTTTAACCTAAAAGAGTTGATTTAAAAAAAAAATTTCTAATTATTCAAACAAATGATATTTAATTCGAATATTTATATACGTAAAAAATTCTTTGAATAACTATTTATGTTTTATACATCTGAATAAAAAAGGATTAATCTAAATTTTTAGATATGAAATATACTACGAATGAAAAAGAAAAAATTAATAATACTACCTTATAGCACATTTTAGTCTACCCAATTTCTCTGGTATCTTTCCCTTTGTTTCGTGCAGTTAAATTGTGGAGGATGTCTCGTTTCAGAGATAAACAATATATATATATATATATATATAAGCTTTTTTTTTTTTTCCTTTTTAATTTATAGGCAGTCGGCTGAATTGAATAGAGGTGAGGGTGAAGCATGTATAATGGAGAGGATTAAAAATATGTAACCTTGCACATGTAACCATGTGAACCTTATTGGTCAAGACAAAATGTTTTGCTCGCATTCCCTTTCGTTTTCTTTAGCCATTAGGGCGAGCCAATGGCTCAATTCCATGCATACTTGGCCCTAGCTACTAGCATGTTACCATACAATTTCCATGTTATTAAATAGCTTGCAAACGGTGTTAATTATGCCTCAGAATATTAGAGAACGGTTTTAGATTTAGGATTGATTATATATAGTTTCAACATCAAGTTGTTTTTCCCACTTATCATTTTGTGTAATTTTAATTTGTTCCTCTGAAGTTTGAAGGATTTTTCAATTTTTTCTCTGATAATTTATTGTATATCAATTACTTCCTTGAATTTTCATCAAAATTTCAATTATTCCTCCTCATCTATTAAACTAATATAACTAATGATATAATCTTATCTATGTTTTAATTGACTTCTTAAAATATGAAAAAAAAAAACTCAATCAAATGTTTATTCTTCAATCATGATAAAATTCATCTTGTCAAAGTTTAGACAAAAAAAAAAAAAAAGAGAAAAGAATGAGGTATTTTTTCAATTATGAAATGTCATATCATTAGTTATAATTAGTGTTAATTTTATGAATTTAAATATGATTTGAATGATTAATATAGAAATTCAAATTATAATTTGGACAAAATTATATATAGTGTGTCAGTATTATTAATTTACTATTAAACTTTACGCTTTACATAATTAACACTTCGCTTTTTTGGGAAATAAGAATATAAAAAGATGATGCTGAATTATTTTAATTTTTTTATCAAGAAGTTACGTTAACTTAATTGGTATTAGATCGTTATGATTTAAATAAAATATACAAAATTTATAGTTAGAGTTTGTGCATTTTTATCAATATTTTTCTACACGTTAAATGTTTATAAATTTAAAAAATATGAGATAAAAAATATAATTCAAACTTAAAAACAAGATAGTTAATATAATTGAGAAATGTGTGTTTAATTAAGATTTTTTTAAAAAAAATAAGAAATCAATTGAAAGATAAAATCATCACATCATTAGTTTTGTTCATATAGCAAATGAAAAAAAAAAAAAGAATTAAAACTTTGCGAAAGTTCAGTGAGATAATTGATACAAATAAAATCTTAAAGAAAAAAAATAAAAACCTCTCAAATTAAAAAAAAAAACAATTAAATTAAAATTTACCCTAATTTTTTTTTTATCGAATTCCCGGTTATGAATAACTAAGATTCGACTAGAGAGTAAAGAATTCAATATTGGTATGGAAAATGGGTGGCTACCCTAAGGATAAACTATTCTTGGAAAAAATTCAAGTTTTTTACGATCGAAGTGCAACTGCTAAGATCCTTCACATGCATCACAAATCGTTTCGATGATTCCATTACTGCCTCGATCATCGTACGCAGAAAAAACTTATGATCTGATAAGACCAGCGATTCTAAGAAAACATGCAGTATTATTGGGCAGAAAACCAGAATCCGAACCATGCCTTAGTTTGGTGCTATGAATTCGTATCATACTTTATTACAGGCACTACAAAATGAATTAAAAGAGGTGTTACTTTGACATATATATATATACAGTCGAGTCATTTCTTATATCGTGTTTATGGTTAAATTGAATATTTGAAATAGCTGTCCCTAGACATTAGACGACAAAAAATAAAATAAAATTCTAGAACCTACTTTATTCCTCGTTAGTGAACTGTTACATTAGTGTTGACTTAACTTTTAATTCCAGCATTTCCAGCAAATTTTCTGACACCACTATGATTAACTATGCAAGATTTTGGGTTATCCCACATGAAATCCTCCCCATTTTCTGCCCCTATGCAGAGCACCCATAATTGATCCCTCTGTAGAGTGCCATCACTTGCCTAGAAAGACTCAGACGTACTTCCATATGTTTAATTTAAGGCTTATTGTATAATATATATATAAACGTTATATTTTTTAATTATATTAACACATTTTTTGATATTAATTACAAAATACACAAATTAAATTTATATTAATCGCATTAATATACGTAAATTTTTTTTATCAAAATTTCATTAACATCTGATGTTATAGAAAGATTTAGTTATTTCTGTCAATTTTTTTTCTACCACATCAGATGTTAACATAATTTTAAATGAAAAAAGTCATGCATGCTAATATAGTTAACAAAAATTTAATTTATGTATTTTTTATTTAACATTAGAATAATGTACTAATATAATTAAAAAATACAAAGTTTATGTTTTCTATTTGTACAGTAAGCTTTTATTTAGTTATTCATAATGTGATAAAAAAAAATCCAACATAAAGAGTACAATAATTTTTTAATCACCACTGTAGCGAGATAGATACTAGCTAGCTGCATGATGTTAGCCAGCCAAACCTCACCCGACAATATAGTAAATTATAAAGCAGTCCTTTAGTTTTTTAAAATAAATTAAATAGTCTCTTTAGTTTTAAAACCTAATCAATTAGTCATATATTTTTAAATATATCAAAATAGAAAAAAAGACATAAGTAAAAATATTCAAGGATTGATGAAAAAAATATTTTTTTGACATACAGTGATATTAAAATTAGAGAGATGAATTTATAATTTACTCCGCTATCATACACTGAATACGTACAAAAATACACATAAAACTTGTCTCATGTAATAGATTCGCATATAAAATCCTCATATGATGACCAAAACCATAAACTCCAAACCACCCACCTAACCAGGAACTTGAGAGAAGATGGAGAAAGAAATTAACAGTCCAAAAAGAATGAAGAGCCATCTCTGCATTCCCAGGCTTAGAATCAACACAAGCTGCACAATCAAGAGCAACCGTTTATCTCCGATGACTCTCCTTGAACGTTTTCGAGAAGCTGTGTTTCGTTTGATGATGCTGTCTGCTCTGTCTAAAGCCACACATAATAATGCAGCTGGATCATCACCTCATCATCATCATCATCATCATCATCTTCACCATCATCGTCATGTAATGAAGAAGAGATCATCATCTTATTATCCTGATGATCCTCACCATAGTGAAGCTGTTGCTGATTGTATAGAGTTTATCAAGAAATCAGCGTTGAGTGATAAGGAGGAGATCAACCGTAACTCTATCACTGCTGCTGCTAGTTCCTTCGATGACAGTAATAGTGATCAGGTGGTCATGCCTGTCCCAGTTATGTGAGATAGGTTTCGTTTGATTTGTGTGGATTTTTTTTTAATACATGCATGCATAATCGTTATATGCATTTTTATTGTAATTGGATTTATTAGCTTCTTGTTAATTTGGAGGGTGATTAATGCTGTGAATTGTGATCTTAAGGTGTGGAGTGGTATATAGCTTGTAATTACATCATTGTGTATGAAATTTGCAGGAAATTGCAGATTATATTATTTCCTTTTTTTTTTGGGTTCTTATGATCTTTTTCTTGGGCTTTTTTTTTCCTGGCTTTATGAATGTTTGTCTTCGATTTCAATCTATTCCATTATTTTCGGGTAATTAATTATTCCATGGGCGATGGGTGAAACGATCCATGGTGTCAAATTGAGGACATGAAAAAATACTCAACTAATTATAATTAGATTCCAACCATTATTTTTCTGAATTATTGATCAAGTGAGGGTTTTAATCCTTCCTGTTGGTTTAGTTTTCTTCTTCTTCATAATCAGAGGATGCGATGCTGCTCATAATTGAATCTACGCAATTAGAAATTTGTTTAGTGCGCAACTAGATTTTTTACCTGCGCTACGCTGCGGATTGGATAAAATATATAAAATCATATAGAAAAATTATTTCAGTTTAATAATCTGTTTTATGATAAAAAATAATTATAATTTTTAAATGAAAAAAAATTATATTTAACTATTTCTTATTTGTGTTTTTAAATTTTAGAAATAAATAATAAAGCAAATAAATTATTGATTTTTTTAAAAAATTTAACACCCAATTAGTCGTTGGTTCTTTTAAAATTTTAACACCTAATATTATTAAGAAATTAAAATTAAAAAAAATTCAATGTTTAGGGAAAAAAAAGGAGGCCGGTCGTTTACTCGTTCATGTGAATAGTAAACGAACGGAAATTAAAAAAAAATAGTGTTTAGAGAAAAAAAAAAGAGGGCAAGCCGTTTACCATTCAAATGATCAATAAAAGGATAAAAAAAGGGAGGGAGGCTAGCGGGTGCTGGCGAAAAAAAAATAAAAACTTAAAAAACCAAAAAAAGCCAAAGTAATATAGCAATGAACGAGTGATTAATACTGTTCATTGCTACGATGAAAAATTGTTTTTCTTTAATATATAGTATTAGATTTTTTACCTGCGCTATGTTGCGGGTTGGATAAAATATATAAAATCGTTTAGAAAAATTATTTCAATTTAATAATCTATTTTATGGTAAAAAATAATCATAATTTTTTAATAAAAAATTTTGTATTTAACTATTTCTTATTTATTTTTTAAAATTTTAACACCCAATTAATTGTTGGTTCTTTTAAAATTTTAACACCAAATACTATTAAGAAACAGAAATTAAAAAAAAAATTCAATGTTTAGAAAAAAAAAAAAAAAGGTGCAAGCGTTTACTGTTCATGTGAACAATAAATGGATGGAAATTTTAAAAAAAAATTCAATGTTTACAAAAAAAGAACAAGAAAAAAGGAGGGAAGTCGTTATTGTTCAAATGAACGAGTAAACGAATGGGGGGCAACGAGTCTAGCCAAAAAAAGAATGAAAACAAAAAAAACAAAAACACTATATCGATGAACAGAGTGATTGATACCGTTCATTGCTACGATGAAAAAGCGTTTTGCTTTAGTATATAGGATAATATACTTGAAATTACATGTTTTTTCTTTGTTTTTTACACAAGAAAACTCTAGTATTTTAACTAAATGGTTTGGGATTCAAGTCTTTACATACGTAAAAAACTCTTAGGATAACCGTGTCCGTTTTGTACGACCAACGTAACAACGATGAATTAGTCCGAGCCAATTTAGTCTAGGGATAAAAAAAAAAAAAAAAGTCACAAAACCAATGTAGAACTAACTAGAGTAAATTATAAATTAATCTTTTTATTTTTTCAAAAAAAAAAATAGTTTCCTTAATTTTAATAACTAACTAATTAGTTTTTATATTTTAAACTCTTTTTGTAACTTGATTTTTTTCATTATTTTTCAATTTTTTCAATAAATAGAAAAAAAAGTAAAAAAAATATATGAAATGATTGATAAGAAAAAAAATAATATTAAATTAACCAACACGTCAGACAAAGGACTAATTATTAATTAATGAGTTTTGAAACAAGAAATTTCGACTGCTTAATTTATTTTTCAAAATTTAAAGAAACTAACTTATAATTTATTCCAGATTAGAGATATTCGGTATGGCCCCAAAAGAATACCCTGGTACCACAAATTATAATATTACGTACACTAGGAAATTAATGAGCCTATAGGAAAAGCAATCACTATTATAAATTCATTATTTGGTCAAATTTTACATTTTCCCATTGATGCATTGTGGTTAAATTCTTTTTAAAAAAATCAATTTAGATTGGTAAGAAAAATACTCATGATGTTTTAGAATCAATTATTATAATTGAATCTTTAATCTGATGGAATATTTTATATTCCATTAGTTTATGCTTAGATATGCATGAAGTTTCGGCCTAATGAATATGGTAGACATAATGTTAATAAATGCATAAGTGATAGTCTATTTATACAATTATTTTTTGAAAAAAAAAGGATTGTCATCAATAACCTAAATCATCAATGATCCTAGCTTTATTATTATTTTTTGACATCCCAACTATGCTAGCTAGGTTCTATAATTTTTTTGTTGTTTTTTGTTCAATATTATAACGAGAAATTTTAAAATACTCTAAGAGTAACTATTATATATTTACAATAATTACTTTATGAATTCATTTAAAAAAGAAAAAGAAAAAAATCACATCCGAACCTACTAAAAATGATAAGAATATTTCAACATCGGTTTAATTTTTTTCTCTTGTTTCTCTCTCATCTTTTTGTCTATCTATTTCTTATAGAGTATGTATTGATAGTTAAGTAGTGCAAAATTTCTCATAATGATCGATAACAAGGAAATTATCTATGCATGGAGTGATTTAATGTAAAAAATAATTGTAAATATAAATAGAGTAAAAAATATAGGTAGTAAACACATACTAACAAGGGCGGACCCAAGTACAATCCTACAGGGGCCTTGGCCCCTCCAATTATTATTATTATTTTTTTACCCATGAAGCACCTCATGCCATACTCTTTTATCCTCTTTTTTATTTTATCACAATTCTATTTTTAACGTGACATCATCCTAATTCATGCTTTAATTAATTTTTTTCCTTTGAGAATGCTTCAATTGGAATTTTAATTAACCTATGGATAAATGAATGTATTTTTATAAAAAATAATTAATTTGAGGGCTTAAATAAGTGTAGTTTCTACGGAAAATATTTTCTAAGCGTAAAAAAATTCACCTAAATTCATATAATATTCTTACACCTCCTTAATGATTTTTCTCTGTCCATTGGATAGTTTTCAAACATATTTAAAATACTCAAAATCATTAATTTGCATAAAAAACTACTATTCATGCACCGAAAATATTCATCGAACATCAAAAAATTCACCTCATGTCATAGAATAATCTGGCACCCTCTAACAAAAATTCTATGCAAACAAAATATTTTTCATGCACATTTAAAATAATCAAAATATTTATTTTGTATAAAAAGTTACTATTCATGCATTAAAAAATAGATAAAATATTCATTCAGACATGTAAAAATTATCCTAAGTGCACCACATATTCTAGTATTGTCATGGCAACTATCCTATGCCCACATAATAGTTTTTATACATCCTTAATAAATTTTTAATTCATTTAATAATGAGTTCGGGATATTACAAAAGAGCTAGGGATACTCGTTTGAGTTCTCATCTAAAATCTATTTCTAACTTAATGAATATGTTTATCGCAAGTACAATTGAGCATCATTACAAAGTCGACATATTCAATGTTATGATAGATTCTCAATTGCAAAAACTGAATAATAAATTCAATGATCACACGATAAAGCTACTCATTCTTAGTTCGAGTTTAGATCTTAGAGAGATATGCATATCATTTAGGATTGATGACATTTGTAAGCCGATATATAAATTTTACCCTCAAGACTTTGTCGATCATAAAATGCTGCAATTTAAGCATTTTGATCATGTACGTAATCTTTTCGATTTTGAAACATTATCGCCTATATTTGATTTGTGTCAATGGTTGCCGAAAACAATAAAATTTGAAAGTTATCCACTTTTGTATAAAGTGATAACACTTATTCTTACTTTTCTAGTTTCTATGGCTACCATTGAGTGATCATTTTTAGCTATGAGCATGGTCAAGATTAAGCTTCATAATAAGATGGAAGATGAATTTTTTTCGATTGTTTGTTAATATATATTGAAAAAAAAATTATTGAAACTTTTAGTGTAGATTTGCTTGTAGATGATTTTATGACTTGAAATAACGAACATCTCTATTTTGAGTAATTGTATTTTGAGACTATTTTAAAATGTATATCGATATATTATTTATAATATATACAAATTTGTGTAAACCATGAAAAATTTATAAACATTTATTTTGGCCCCCATGGACATTTGATCTCGCGTCCGCCATTGCATACTAATAATAACTTGTTATATATGTACTTAGCCATTCATTTGAAAATTTATAGTAAAATTCTTTTAGAATTCAAATTGCATTTTTGTTTTTGAGTGAATTGCATTTTTTGTTTACATAGTTGTTAATTTTTCTATTTGAATATGTAAAACTTTAAATTTTACTATTTGAACATACCAAGTTATAATTTTTTTTTCTATTTGAGTAGTTTTGTTAACTTCGATAATTTTATTTTGATATGACCGTTAACCGCACATGTGACGCCATCATGTAAGTCTTACTATTTGACACATGACAATTACTTAGGAAAAAAAAGAGTTTATAACATATTCGGTATACAAACTTGTTAAATTTTTCTATTTGAGCGTGTAAATTTTAATTTTTACTATTTAAGTGTACCAACCTATAACTTTTTCTATTTTAATGGTTCCATAAACTCTAAATTGATATGTTCATTAATTGCACATGGAGCACCATCAGGTGTATTCATTGTTAGATACATGAGAACTAGAAAAAAATAAATAAAAAGCAACGATCAATTCTCATTCTTAGATAGTAATAAAAAAATAAATTACATCGTAATAGTAAGATATTTATGATATTAAAGTTGATATGTTCAAATAAAACAAATGATAATTTT